GGATTTTTGCGCGCCGGCGACATAATGGCTAACTGTGAACGCGCACCGCGCGCGCTTTTTTCGCGCTGAATAAATAATAACGTACCGATAAAACTAATATTGACATGGTACACGGCTACCGTGAGAACTTTAATCACGACAAATCATTAAACTCGCGCGCAAAAGGCAACAATTAAAGTGGACGTTATTCATGCGCGGCGGCCGCGCGGCCAGCAGCAGGAGCAATAACAGCGTCGACAGCAAACCACCAGCAGGAGCACCAGCAGCAGCGTGTGTGCGCTCAATCGAATCATGCATTGTGTTGTTGTTGTTGTTGCTGTTGCTGCAGCGGCGTTCGCTTGTGTGTAGTTGTGTTGTTGGCGATTGTGCGTTCGACGCTTCTTTCCCGCGCGGCTTGAGAATTTTTGCACTCGCCACGCTCGCTTAATTCTTATATGAGTTATAAATCACGCGTTTTCGAGCTTTTGTTTCAGTACCTAGCTCTAACAGCCAATCAGAGACTTCTAACTTGTTATATTGCCATCGCTACTACAAGTATCTCTAAATTTTACTCTCATTGACTTTAAACTGCTCATACTTTAATTTTAACCTAATATTTGATTTTTTTCTTCAATGTCTGGTTTAGTTTATTTGCTTTTATTACGGTTTTTAATGCAATCGTAAAATTCACCTGACGTGCGCGCATCCGTGATTCACGATTGTTATATAAAAGCGTGAATTATTGATAATAAATATTAAAAAGTTTTGCCAACCAAACAACTCGCTGCCTCCGCGAAGCGGGTTTTTGTCGCGCCGAAGACGTGAAGATCGCCTCGAGTGCCCGGCCACACGACGGCGATATAATGTAAAACATATACAATTTATGCGCACAATGGCCGCGCGACACAAACGTCGGCCGGCAAGAAAATGCATAAAATGTAAGCGCAAATTAAATCGATTTATGTTGATATTCGCGCGCAACTCTGAACGCTGCTATATTTATCGCCTGTGTAAATTTTAGTGCGCTCTTCACTACAAACTAATTAAAACTCGGTTTTGTACGTAAATGTGAAGGTTAACCAATCATATCACTTCAAAAATTCATCAAATTAAACACAAATTTAACTTGTGTTCACACATTAGCTTTTTCTGTGGTATAGTTGCATTTGTAATTTAAACCAGGCATAGGTATATATCGCAGGGTGCGATAACAACGTGTTGATTCAATATGCGCATTCCTGCCTTATTTATTTGCATTGCTTTATTAGCAGAGGGCAGAAACAGGTCGTACTTTGCTGGGGCGTACAAAATCATTACAACCTGCACAACACATTCACCCATCTATAAGCTACCACATTATAACTCTGCATTGAGACGTGACATGCTCATGTAAACAAAAATAATTAACTTTTGTTTTGTTCATTTTCAAGTTGTACTGGAATTTTTAAAATCCGATATATACTGTTTAATTTTTTCAGCGTTTTGGTATTAGTTTTTAATTTCTAATGACTTTATAATTTCACAATTCGCGTTTGAGTTGACCGCACACGATTTATTTTTTAATATTGTTGTCGTTCTCATAATTATCCTCAAAAAATATTAAATTATTTAGGCTGCAGATCTCGAAAATATCAACCTGACCAGTTTTTTTTTTCTGTTGGCTTTGTTGCCTGTTTAGTGTTTAGGTGTTTTCTTTTTGTTGTGAGTGTCGTTTAGCTTCGTGATTTAAACTTTTGTCTTTCGATGCGCGTCGTGATTTATTTCTTTCGCCGCGCGCCGGCTTGCAATTCCGCTTTTTTAAACGTTTCGTTAACGTTGCGCGCACGTTAGTTAGACGCGTATTCATGAATGCGCATCGCGCGAACGCGGCTGTAATAAAACAAAAACGCATATTGTATTCAAAGTTGGTCACATTCCTGTATAACTACACGCATTCTTGCAATGAAACGCAACAAATGAGCAAATGAACGTACGGACATGGCTACCAAACGCAATCAAACAAAAACTTTACGAATTGCATGCAAATTTACATCGCGGTTCTCTATCGATTCCTCGCAATTATATTGATAAAAACACAATATCACAATGCATAATTATTTAAATTCGTTTTACATGTTTTTTGCATATTGTTTTTTTATAAGTGTGATATTCTAAGAGTGATTCTGTAGTTTTGGTGCGGTTGTGTAGATTGGTGTGGTTTGGTTTAATGCCTGTATGTGCGCATGCAGGCAGCAGGTCTCCTTATAGGAGCGTTTTACTTATTGCCGCATCCTCGTCGACGCATTCGTACTCCTTATATTCCTCAACGCCGGCCGCGTTGAGCGGACTTAACTGATTACTATCACGCCGCACACACGGCGGCCCGCGACGCGGGAGCGCTCTTCGCGTCCAGATGGACGACCGCGCACGGGATGCTGTGCGTCTGCGGGCAAACAAAAACCGTAACCGATTTTGAATTTTCAAGCCCCACTGTTGCAGGTGCCTGAATTTGCCGCGAAACAATACAGCAGGCAAAGGAGATGCTGTATTTATTGTTGATTTTTTATATACTTACGCCATGCTTGCATACATTTGATTGTAATTTAAGTTTTTTGATTTTTATATTTTCCAAGTTTGAGTATGTTGAAAAAAACTTTTGCAAGTTTTTTTTGCCTTGCAGTCGCGGATTTTCCGCTGGAAAGCCAGAGGGATAAAGTTTTAAGACTTCTTCGAAATGATATTAAAAATCCATCCCTTGACACAATGTCCGGTAAAAGGTGACAGCGTATGCGGCAGCATCCCGCATCCCTCTTGCGTCGCACGTGTATGTGCTTGCCGCTGCCTTCGCCGCCGCCGCCGCGTTTCTCAATCAGTCCCCGCGCCCGCCTCCCGCCCCATCGCCATCGCCGCCTGCTTCGAAAAAAAACTCGATCAATACATAAAAATTTCATATTGAAAATGATTGAGGGCGGTGGCTCTCGGACCGAATGCGCGCCTTCGTCTTTCTCTTTATTTTGCTTCCGCCGAGCTTCGAACTTGGAACTTGGAAGTCCTCATTTTTTTCTCGGCTGCGTTTCTTCATTGGATGTCTAATTAATTGAGTACACATTGATAATTTATTTTCGTTGCTTGCGCGCTGCGCGCGGAAAATGAAAACGTACATAATTTATGGAATGGAGGGCTTGGAGAAGAAAAAAAAAAGCAATGCACAAGCTTCGCCTCTCGTCTCTCTGCGCAGCGTTTAATTTCGCTGCTGCCTTTTTAGGAAGGCGTTTTCTGGTGGAATCTTGTAAATTATGCGCATGCAAATCGACTGCGAGCTGGCTGCGACTGGTGGATTTTTCATTCGTGCAGGCGGCGGCGGCGTTTGTGTCGCCGCGCGTCGCGAACAAATGATAATTAAAGCGCCGCTTAAGCAGCAAGCGAGCGCCGAATGACAAGTCAGTAGGTGCCGCCTTTCGGGGCGCGATCGTATCGCGCGAGTCCCTCCTGTCCTTCGGCGGCGACGCCGCTAACGACCGTAATCACGCTGATCACCTTTTGCGCCGCTGACAGATTTCGCGATGCGCACCGCGATGCGATCTTCAATCTTCCTGCTTTTGCGCCAAACGCCGCATGCGGCAAGTTATACGATGAATTAATGAATTAAACGCCGCGCAGATTTACGCGCGATATCGACTTGCATTCAAAAGCACGCGAAACTTGCGGGAAATTTATTCGTCAAATATAATACCAATAGAAAGGCATGTAATGGACGCTGAGAGCAATATTGTACCGATAATGCATTGCGCTCTGGCATCCGCTTATTTTGACATGGTATCTGTGCGTCTCTCGGCGTTCGGCGTAATTTCGTAATTACAGTCCGCGTTCTGCGAGTTCCTCGTCGAGTTTAATACAGTTTAGCCATTGATTTATGGCGGGTATCATAACGCCGTTATGAATATCGAACTGCATAAATTAGGCGCGAGTCTCGCGCACACGCTCGCTCGTTCGCCTCTTCTCGGGGTCTCGCACCCTGTGCATTCTTTTATAATTCGTCGATAAATTTTCAGGCATTTAGCGCGCAAACGGCCCGCAGCTAAGCGTCAAGATTAAAAATGACGTCCAGACGAAAACTCGATGTTTAATTACGCACCAGCGATCTTTTAAAATATGATATACCCAAGTTTATACGTTTTTCTCTATTAATATTTGATTCCGTTGTTTTTAGTTAAAATGTAATTAATTTTTACTTTCTTCTTTATAACCTAATACCTATAATGCACTTTAGCGCCATCTGGGATTCAATTATTTTGTTAAAACAATGATTGAATTTCTAAACCAATTTTCATTCTTTATTTAACACTCTTTAAGATATAATGTTTGACATTTTAATAGTTATTCTGCTATTTGGGACGGGGACGAATCCAACAAATGATAGATACTTAAAATCTGTCCGGCCGTTTTTAAGTTATAGATGCTTTAACTAACACGATTTTGTTTTTTACATATACATGTTCAACTTTTAATTTTTGTACTTTTTAAATTTTAACTTCGTCAACATTTTTTTGCATTTTTAGCTTGTTTTAATTTGCATACCACTTGGTGCTTATGTGATACGTGTCGTCTGGAGTGCGAGGCGTGTTGCGCCCCTGCGGGGGGTTGTTAATTAGATATGTCAGGACACATGTACTCCCGCTGTTAATGCTCATCTCGTTCGGCGCGCTCGCGCGATACCAGCTTTCGGTATTCAGTATTTAGTATTTAATATCACAACCGTGTTGGGACGGAATCTTTCGTATTAAAAATTAAACCACACCGATTTCGATATATACGTAGACGTCTGTCTCGATGGGTGTTTGACACGCCATCGATGTTTATATTAAATTATCAACTCTTCCACACATTTCAAATTTAATTTATTTGCTGGTATATATAGATTCCTGGAATTCACAAATGGTGGGCTACATGAAGTGCGAATTTCACGCTTTTAGTTAAACATGTGTGTGTCCATTTAGTAATTAGACGCTAGCGCATAACTAATCGATTCATTTTGGTTTCAGCTGGCTGCAACGCGGCTCCATGTTTGTGGTGTCCTTCCAGCAATTGCTAAAACTTATCCTCGGCCCAACGTGGACGACCTCACCGCAATGGTCAAGCGACAGTCTGCTGGATTTGGGCGCCGGCGATGGTGAAGTGACTGCTCGCTTCGCGTCCGCCTTCCAACACGTGTACGTCACCGAAGTGTCGCCAACGATGCAAACACTTCTCAAACGACGCGGATTTCAGTGAGTCTTTAATCAGTTTAGCATAATGCGGGCATTTAACTGCGCACAGCTGGTAGCGAGACGACGGTTTTAGTTACATTCATTAGGCTGTTTCATTTTCTCGTTAATTTACAGTCCGTCGCGGAATGTTATTCGATATCCGATCGGCTGCAAGTGCATCGACACGGCGAAACAAAGCACGCGCGAGGCGTTCGACGTATACACGTAATTGCGCTTGTTGTTCCACGGCGCGGAATGAGAAATTACGAGCGTTGAATATTCATAAAGTTTGCTTTTATAGAATTAATAACTATATTTCTTTCCCAGCGCCGTGTGCGCTGCAGTCGGGTTATTCCGAACTAAATGATTGTGCCATTAAAATACTCAATAAACACGTTACAAATAGTTATGGCTGCAAAACGACGGATAAGTTTATACTTCTATTCTCATTAGTACCTAAGGCAGCCGCATTGAAATATAGGCACCAGTTAAATTCAAGCATTTTTACTTCGGAATTATTTGTAGAAATATTTAATGCACGTTGTAAATCGAAACCACCGCATTGGCGAGATTCTTATCACCCTGCGTATATCTTGAGTAATTAAAGTCGTTCATTGGCGGATTGTTAATTGAGTTGCAACTTGCAACAGCGTACGTGAGCGTAATAAAATCGCGTCTCATCGTAAAACTAAGTGCGAAGTTAATTAAGAAACGTTACTTACGGCGATTAATTTTACAATCGACTCTGGAATTCGTCGTGGCAATTTCACTGCATCACGGGCGTAGGCTGCCGAATCTCCAGCGACACATAAAACCTGCAAACGCCTTAGAACTAAAACTTAGTTTTATTACCGTCTCGACTGTGGTTTCGATATGGATGCGAAACTAATTGACTGGGAATGCAATCAATCTAATTGGGATTTCTAGTTTAATTCGCTTTAAATTCAAATTAAACGTAACACTTTTTTTTTCTGCAAGTTTAGACTTTTAAATTTAATTTTTGAATTTTTCAGGTTGTTGGATATTGATAAATGGAGTTCGCATCGCAAGTACGATATGATCTCATGCCTGAATCTCTTAGATAGATGCGACAAGCCCATCGAACTTCTTGGAGACATACATTCCGCGTTGAATCCAGGTGGTTTGGTGCTCCTCGCACTAGTTTTACCGTTTTCTCCGTACGTGGAATCAGGTAATTAATTTGCATTAATTTACGGGCAATAAATGGACATACCAGCATACGGGATGCCTACACTCTGGATAATGTGTCAAGCTCTTAATTTAGTTGAATTAAATATGCCTCTTGTGAAATTACTAAATTTATGCTTTTAGGAGCAGCAGATCACAAGCCACAGCAATTAATGCCTATCAAAGGACGCGGATTCGAGGATCAAGTGACGAGTTTTGTCGCAAACGTCCTCACACCAGCTGGGTTTGAGGTTGTCCGATGGAGCAGAGTGCCCTACCTCTGCGAAGGTGATCTTCGACAATCCTACTATTGGCTGGATGATTCTATATTCATTCTCAGAGCTCGTTCTTAATCTGCTTGTGAGCTCAAAATTATACAGTTGAAACTGAGAAACTACGACCAAATAACTATCACTTTCTAGGCTAACATTTATTTAGGTGTCTAGTAAGTGAGTTCAAATAATGTAAAACACTTTTGATACTATTTAAGTCTATCAATAGACAAACCCTTGACGAACTACATGTATTCATGTAGTGAATGCCAAATTTTAATGTTAGACAAATTATTATTGAACGCTTGCTAGTACTATGAAAAACGCAAATAGTATAGTTCTATGGAATAACTAAATGGTGCTGAATTACTGCTCATCTATTTCTATGCACAAAACTATACTTTTTATACTATATTCTTACGTTTAGGATTAAGTTTCATGGCTGTAAAAAAAGAAATAACATTTCAAAGGTAATATTTAGGTCCGTACGATAAAATACGAGAATATGGTTGCCTATCTTATAGGCTTCAACTATGATGTGAAATTTGGGATTTTTAATCTATTGGTTTACAATACTGTAGGAAACTTTTAAGTATACAGTGGGCAAATTAGCATGTGAGATTTGCCTAAATACAGCTTCAAGTAAATGAAATCTGCTTATGAATCCATAAGTAGAAATGGTCACACATAATGTGCGATCATGATGAAATAATTACCGTCCGCGACTACATTATTGATGCCTAATGTTTATTTGCGAACTTAATATTTCTCTGCATCACACTGCTCACTGGGTTTTCATATTTCATTATTATTTTAAACCAATTATAACATAGATATACCTAAATGTATTCATGTTATATGTGAGTATAAGCAGTAAAACTTCATTTAGATGCATTTAATAGTACACACAAATGCCAAATTTAAGATAACATGGCTGGTTTTGCTTCATAGTTTAACGTTTTCATAGATATAAATCACTATTTTACTGACAAGTAAGCATTTGAGGTCCGGTTATTTGTCTAGCATAATGGGTAATGTAGATGAAATACCTGAATGTATTCATGTTGTATGTGGTGTCTAGGGCCTAAACATACTCCTTAAACAATGATAGCAAACATGTAGTAAATCTGTTTTAGAATGGTTTTCGTGAAACTTGTAGTCGTTTCTTTAATTTTTATACTACGGTAGTATTAACTTGATGGATGAATCATAGACAAAATAACTTAAATCAGTTTAATATTTATTACATGAGCCCTATACATTTAGCAATCAATAGAATCAATCAATTTTTCAGGACTATCAGAACACTATTTAATATTTTTTACTTTATGATTTATTTAATGTCCTGAGTCAGTGGGAACATCTTTGTCTTGGTAACCCAATTGATCCTCAGGCAAATGAGGCCAGAAAGAGGGCTTTTCAAGTGGGTTGAGTGACTCCTCTGGGAAAGCATCCCTGTAATCTTCCATTGTCATCTGATCATATGGAATCAATGAAGCGAGGTGAGCCAACTGCTTCTTGTATCTAGAAAGTGTATCAAGTTTAGTTTTGAGTTCATAACTGGGGTTGTATAACCTCAAAGTGCAAGCCATCCTAAACCTGGAGTTGGTTGCTAAATTTTTAAAGCTAACTACCTAGTTAGTAGTCTACATTGACAACTTCAGGCTCTAGGACTTGGCAGTGCTTTCTTTATGTACTTACTGTTCAATGCGACCGTTTGATTCAGTCTTGAACTTGTTCACATCATTCTGGATTTCCTTCTCCAGACTGTCCAGCTGACTGGTGAGTGGATTTGGAGGATATGGGATGGACAAGGCTTCATACTGCTTCTGGAACTCATCTACCATGCCAGCCACAGGAACCTTGTTCTTATAAAACGCCCAATCGATCTTCGGTGCAGTTTCCGGGAATGCTGTGACACTATTAAAGGATGAATAAGGTAAATGTGTGTGATAAATGTTACTATATTAATGATTACATAAACGGGTTCAACTTACCGACGCATGTAGCCATCGCTCTTAGCTTTGAAGGCGGAAAAAATAACCTTCTGATGTTCGGGAACGCGTTCGGCGAGCTGCGCCCAGTTGATTGCGGATTGGGAAATTCTTTTCGCTGCCATTTTTACGTTATTATCGCAAAAATCTTTTGGTCGAAATGCGCTTTCCTGAGGTACCGAAAACGAAGACCCTGAATTGACAGCAAGTGACAGCTGTTATGTAAGGACAAAAAACACCAGATTCACGAAGATCAGATTCATATTCTAAATATTTAGACTAATAACTGATACAAAATTAGCAAATGCGTTGACATTTTAATAATATTTGGCGTAGTAGTAGAGTTTGAAATTATTGAGATTGTAAGTACGGCCAATTTAGAAACCATTTTTGTTTAACGTATAGTTGTAACATTATTCTAAAGCCGACCATGAGTAGGTTTAAATCTAGGGGAATTTTATGTTCACGCTGTGGCATGTTTGTAGGTACGTCGTTTCGCCGCTAGTCGTTCCCCGCGGCAGGTTCGCAGCTGCTAAAATTCAAGTTTTTCAATATTTCTAGATAACTCTGACACGGGAATAAATAAATTTTCAAAAATAATTCGCGCATTTATATAAGTTCAATTTATAATCTTTAGATATTAGGTATGTAATGTGTATGTTATGTGTAATGTGTTATTATTTATTTCCTGTGTAGTATTGTCCGGCCTCCCACATTTCTTTAATTTATAGGTTTTAATTTTGCATATTTCTTATATTATAGTAGATCATTAAACTTGTTCTATTATTATTCTTAATGTAAATAATAATGTGACTTAATAACCAAGCTTCCTTATTTCCTTAATGTCTAGTAATGGTGCTGAATTTATATGGTACTTTGTTATCATTGTATTCTGTCACATTCTTAATGTGTAGTGAAATTATGTTAAATGTTGCATTTGCATGTTTCTAGTATGGTCTCTGTGAACTTTATAACTGTATTGAAAATGTGCATACTTTCGCATTCTTTCTTTTGTCTATCTCATATCCTTTATGCGTAGATAGGTAGTATTATATGTTTCTAGCATTCGTGAAGAAATTAAACGATTGCCATTATATTTTATATGTTGTGTTGTTGTTGAACTCTAGTGTAGTGTAAAGTAGATAGTAAGAGTTGGGAACTCGTTATTTATAAATGTGACTTGTGTTGTCGTGTGGGAAATAGTTATAGCTAGTAGATAGGTATGCTTATAGAAGTAGTATTGTAATATTCTATAGTAGGTATATAGAATACTATGTAGTAGTAGTATAGCAATAGTATAATAGTAGTATACTAGTAGTATAGAAGTAGTAATAAATAAATTTTACAGGTAATTTTTTTAAGTAACACTCTCGTAAAACTATTGTTTTTCAAAAACAAGTGACGTCAGCGCGATAGCAACGTGTGGATTGTGATAATTTCTTTACTCGCTCACTTTTATTTACGTAGTTGCTGTTGCAGTTCGGACAAAGGACCGAACGCGGTATTATTTATTTTAATCTTATATAATGTGTATTTGAAAACCATTCCACATGTAAACGTTTAAGTCTGTTCACTTAACTTTTAACATTCTAGATTTAAAGCGAATGATTTATGTGGAACTAATTAATAAAATTAATAAATGACTTTTAAGATAACAAAACATATTGCAGAAGTAGTGAAAGAAGATAATTGCGACAAGTTTTGAGTTATCAATTTAATGTTTACGTTTGATTTTATTGAATTTGGCTTGTATACACATAAATTCAAGACTTGTTTTCGTTTTTTGTAGTGCGTGTTATCAATGTTTGGGTTTGTGTGTGTTGCTGCACGCAATGTTACCTGAGGCAAACGGTACTCTGCATGCTGCTGACATCAACGGCGACATTTGGCAAATAGTTTTATTCTAGCCGTCGGACGGTGTGGCCGGCTTTATCTGTGTTCTTAATTAATTAATTCAGTGATTCGCGCTTTATTCGATCAATACTTAATGGTATTTAGATTGAATTGACCATTTAATCAATTCGAAGATGGAACTATTTATTATAAAATGTGATATTAATGTTTTGTGTACTGTTTCAACTAGATATTCAGCTACACATATTGCGGTGCAAGTGGCTTGCCAAGTAAGTTTTCATATTGTCGAGAACATGTGGGTTGTGATGTATTGTCTTTCTGCGACGAATGAAACATTATGAACTGTTAATTACCGCAATCTTGTAAAATAAAAGCGATAGTGATGAATGATTAGCAAATTCTTAATCTATGGGAATTTTTTATTGGATACCATACAAAAATCGGGATAATAAGACTCGTGTTTCTCAATATTTCAGTTGTTATTATTAAAGCGATAGAACGAAACAGATTGAAAATTCGAAATATTCGGAATCTGCTTCAGTAATTGCTTTTCGATTTCCGCTGTCAAACACTTTGGTAAGATAGTTATAATTAAGTAATTCAATGCTTGGGTTAAATTTTTCGTAAATTATTCAAAAATTCTTTGATTTTTTGGAAGTTTAGAAAGATCTCTTCTTGAAATTTTAGATTTTCTTCTGGAATGTTTTTCTTTGTATTCCCTGCTTATGACATTTCTATTTATTTTATTATTCATGACATCCTCCCTTTATTAGTAATCGTGAATAAACATTGTTTTGAGTTGCGTGCAGCCAACAAGCAAAATGAAACCACCTATCTCCATGGTCGCGTTCAGCAAGCATATCGCAAACTGATAGTGACCGCGTGTTGTCGCCGTATACTGGGCACGTTGCAGTTTTATTTCGGACGCCGGGTAAATCGCGCGTGTTCATCACAACTAGTTCTGTTTCGTCCGATCATAATTACGTATATGGGTTTATATTCCACAAACAATTAACGGCATATATAGGAATCGGGTGCGATCCGGAGTTTTGCTTGTACGATTGCACGCGTTAAATCGCAGATTCATCGTTAGTTCATTTGTGCTCGCGTGTGGTTCCGTCGGCCGTCGCTGATTATTTTTCACCTGTGGAATTATACAGAACTCAATTTTGGAATAGAATTTGTTGCTTCTCAATTAGCAAATATAGGAGCTACCATGTAAGTAAAATTAATCAGGAAATTGTCGTCTCCATCACGGGTTGTGTCACAAGTTTTCTCCAGCAAAACAAGATAATCAATCGCGAATATTTGTTTCGATAACGCGTCACACTATTAAACCATGGCCTTAATTTGCTAAATGTATTTGTATTTCATCAACAATTAACGTGTTGTTAATTTTATGTTAAATTTATGACGATCCGTCGGCTAGCATCTCAAGCGGGACTATTAAAAAAAATAATGCATTTTATTTTAAATTGTTTTCTTTATTGTATATATTGTATTTGTATATCATTCTACCCATTTCTGTATTCTGGTATTACGTGAAAAATAGATTGTCTTTCTAGTTGTGGTCCTTGTCTTTCTTGAACTTTGAATTTTCTTTCTCTAACAATCTGTGAATTCCTTTTCATTGAGTGAACATAAGCTATACTTGTAGGTTTTGGTTGTTTTTTAATTGCAAGTTACAAATATCTATTTGAGATACTCTGTATCTTAATTTCCTTTGACATCCATACATAAATGAGCTGTATTTATTATTTTGGAGTGTCTCGTTTCGATCTATAAATTTTCTTTTGACAACACCCTGTATATCAATTTTCGTTTATCTCACGCGAAAAATAGCCTATTTGCAATGTTTAAAAGTTTGCTGTTGACGTATATTCTAAAATGAAGTTGTTTTATTTTTGTAACACCCTGTATATCAGTTTCCCTAAGGCTCCCCGCACACTACAAACTTTTTATCGGCCGATATTTTGATCGGGTTGGGCTATGAGCGCGCACACTACGCCAACTAAACAGTTGGGTTTGTGGTGAGTGCGCACACTAGACAACAGTCGGCCGACTGCACCAATACTCTGAGCGAACTAAATTGATCAAGTCGGCCGACTAAACAATCGGTAGGTGTGCGCGCTTGCGACGAGTTCCATACTGATATCGCAGTCGGCCGATAGTTGGCCTGGTTGGCCGATAGTTTAGTTTGAACGCAGTTGGGTAGCCCATCAAACTTGTTTATCGGCCGATACAAAATCGTTGTAGTATGCGGACTTGCATACATATTCATACTGATTATAAGCCCGACCAAGCTATCGGCCGATAAAAAGTTTGTAGTGGGCGGGGAGTCTAAATGTTTATTCTGTTGTCATATTAATTTTTTTATTGTAACACCCAGTATATTTATTTCCATTTTCAATCACCTAGAAAATGGACTATTTGCTAATTTCTTTATCTCGGCAGAACTGTACGAAGTGGTACTTGCTTATATGTGCCCGGTTATGCAGCTCGTAAGTCCTGTCTCAATATGGCGGCATGTATTTTGTTGACTTGTAAAATCTAAACTTGTATTCTATTGTTAATAAAGAACTAGTAAGATATACTGACTTCTCTGATTTGTATGTACCCCTTCTATCATTTTAGGAACAGGTCTCTAAGAGAGTTCCCTCTCTCAGGGGATGATCCCCACTATAATAATTGTTAAGGTATCCTGTATGATTTGTGTACTCCTTCTCTCATTTCAGGTACAGGTCAGAACTTGTAAGAATATTTTTAAGTGCCTCCTCTCTTGAGACGACTTAAAACTTAGAAATATTTGAACAAGACCTTATAAGGATTGTCCTTATAAGGAGTTCCCTCTCTCTGGGGGTGATCCCCCACCAGAAAAATTGTTGATATACCTGATAATTCCGGGGATGAAGCGCAGAGACATCGTAGCTGTAGGATGGGCCGGGAGCAATGGACGCATCGAAGCAGTGGACTGTCTAACGACACGTGCCAAAAACTACTCCTGTTGCTCTTTCTTCTATCTCCTCCTCTTCTCTACTCTCTGTTTTCTTCCTTCTGTCTTCTCCTGTTCTCTACTACTCCTTCTTCTCCTATTTTTCTGTTCTCCGTTTCACCACTTGCTGCTTTTCTTACTTCTCTTAGTGCCTTGCCTTCACTTGTATTGCAACTTCTCTTATATTTCGTTGCAATTCATAAATGCAACCCAAATTACACCTGTTATTTTTATATTTGAGAAAAATGCCTGCTATACCTGAGATTCGATCCGTGTCTACTAGCATGCTAGCAGGTGCACGTACCCACTCGACCACAGAGTGTTCTTATCATTGTTATTTGATTCTTCTATTTATGTTTTTACTTTATTCAACTTTTTAAAAACAATAACACTATGCTAAGTATAGCTATGTTGCCCACGCTCTACGCGCATAAGACTTATATGCAATATGACTTATTACGTCAATCCTGAAAATGACAGAGAGGATGATACCAAAAAGAAATATGAAAGAGATTGTAATATTATATTGTGTTTTATTTACATTATATAAAAATATATACAATTTGCATATCGAAAATTACCATGGCTATGAAATTCCGAGACATAAAGACTTGCCTTAAAATACGCACATCCATAACACCGTTGCAATGGATATTTCAATAAAACATACAATGCAACTTTATAGTAGTCAAAATTAAGAACATATCATAGGTATTGTTACGTACGCATATTGAAACTATACGGCCACTTGCGACAATACTAAATATATGAAAATGTATGACAATACAAAAATAAAGAAAGACTATAATTTTAGTTTCTTTGATCCATATTAATTTAGCGGATATATAAGTATATAGTTATTGAAAAAATTAACGTGATTTTAGATTACAATTTAGTGTACATAGGAAATTGTTTACTTGATGTTAAATACTCCGTTATTGTTCCAAACTACACACAGTAGAATTTATTTACTTCTCACTGTACACTGTAGTACTTTTGCACTAGCAACAATCCCACACAAGAAAAAACACGTGCTTTATGCTGAAGAATTAAGAATTGAATAATTTTACCCACAAATCCAATTGAAATCCGTAGCAGCACTAAAGAGATCCGACGGCCGGCGACCAATATCATTCACACGCGGACATGATAAGATCTCTTAACTTAGGAGTTGATTCGCGATAAATCAGTTAGTCAATAGTCGATGGCAAACAATTTCAATGCTTCTACCGTATTAAAACAACAGAATTGCTAACAGCCGTGACGGAGCAAAGAAACACGTAAGGACCACACCGCTGCGCACCACCGACTGAGGAAACTTGAAGCCGGCAATCGGCACGGTACTGCTCAAATGGCAGCGCACAGTATGCTACGCAAGCCTAGGTCGAACTGAATGCAGAAACAAAGCGTCGAAAACTACATGGATCATATATACCAAATCACTATATAAATCACTAAAATTAGTACTGAAAATGATAAAGAAATTCAATACTTACAATCTGATGAAAGAATGGTTCTCCTACAAAGTCGGACTCAGGTGCCAAACCCTAAAACAAGCAAAAATTAGTCAATCGAAACACAAAATGCAATTTTTGCTACTAAATAACAAGCTAATCGCTAAAGTTATTTACGAAAATGGTAAAGAAATTCAATACTTACAATCTGATAAAAGAATGGTTCTTCTACGAAGTCGGGCTCAGGTGCAAAACCCCTAAAACAAGCAAAAATTAGTCATTCGCAACACAAAATGCAATTTTTGCTGCTAATTATCAAGCTAATCACTAAAGCTATTTATGAAAATGGTAAAAATTCAATACTTACAATCTGATAAAATAATGGTTCTCCTACGAAGTCGGGCTCAGGTGCAAAACCCCTAAAACAAGCCAAAATTAGTCATTCGCAACACAAAAATGCAATTTTTGCTGCTAATTATCAAGCTAATCACTAAAGCTATTTATGAAAATGATAAAGAAATTCAATACTTACAATCTGATAAAATAATGGTTCTCCTACGAAGTCGGGCTCAGGTGCAAAACCCCTAAAACAAGCCAAAATTAGTCATTCGCAACACAAAAATGCAATTTTTGCTGCTAATTATCAAGCTAATCACTAAAGCTATTTATGAAAATGGTAAAGAAATTCAATACTTACAATCTGATAAAATAATGGTTCTCCTACGAAGTCGGGCTCAGGTGCAAAACCCCTAAAACAAGCCAAAATTAGTCATTCGCAACACAAAAATGCAATTTTTGCTGCTAATTATCAAGCTAATCACTAAAGCTATTTATGAAAATGATAAAGAAATTCAATGCTTATAATCTGATGAAAGAATGGTTCCCCTACAAAGTCGGGCTCAGGTGCAAAACTCCTAAAACAAGCAAAAATTAGTCATTCGAAACACAAAAATGTAATTTTTGCTGCTAATGAATAAGCTAATCACTAAAGTCATTGATAAAAATTATAAAGAAATTCAATACTTACAATCTGATAAAAGAATGGTTCTTCTACGAAGTCGGGCTCAGGTGCAAAACCCTTAAAACAAGTCAAAATTAGTCATTCGCAACACAAAAATGCAATTTTTGCTGCTAATTATCAAGCTAATCACTAAAGCTATTTATGAAAATGATAAAGAAATTCAATACTTACAATCTGATAAAATAATGGTTCTCCTACGAATTCGGGCTCAGGTGCAAAACCCCTAAAACAAGCAAAAATTAGTCATTCGAAACACAAAAATGCAATTTTTGCTGCTAATTAACAAGTTAATCGCTTAAGTTATTAATGAAAATGATAAAGAAATTCAATACTTACAATCTGATGAAAGAAAGGTTTTTGTACGATGCATGGATCAGGTGCAAAATCCCTAAAATCATCAAAAGTTAGTCCTTTGCAACACAAAAATGCAATTTTTAGGGCCAATTCATTAGATAACTACACAAGTTATCTAAGAAAATGATAAAAAAAATTCAATACTTACAATTGGATGAAAGAATGGTTGCTGTATGATGCAAGGATCAGGTGCAAAATCCCTAAACTCATCAAAAATTAGTCATTCGTAACACAAAAATGCAATTTGTAGGGCCAGTTCATGAGATAATTACAGAAGTTATCTATGAAAATGATAAAGAAATTCAATACTTACAATCTGATGAAAGAAAGGTTTTTGTACGATACATGGATCAGGTGCAAAATCCCTAAAACCATCAAAAATTAGTCCTGCGCAACACAAAAATGCAATTTTTAGGGCCAATTCGTGAGATAATTACAGAAGTTATCTATAAAAATGATAAAGAAATTCAATACTTACAATCTGATAAAAGAATGGTTTTTGTACGATGCATGTATCAGGTGCAAAATCCCTAAAATCAACGAAAATTAGTCCTTCGCAACACAAAAAAGTACTAAATATAGGAAAATGTAATGTAATGTAATCCATGTACGAGTATATATATTTTTTTATTGTGATAAATTAACGCGATTTTAGATTACAAATTTTGAGGGAGTTATACCTACATGTTTCGCCATGAGGGCATCTTCAGTAACTGAAGAAGTTGAAAATTTCTAAAAAAAGCAAACTATCGCGGCTATTTTGAGGTACCTACGTATTGAGCCAATAAATGTTTGTGGCGTAAATTAGAATGAAAAATATAATTAAATTATAAACTTAGGAATTGTTTTATTCATCAGTCACCAAAAGCAGCAAGTGCTGTAATTAAAAGAAAAAAAAAAGTTGAAACATTTCATAAGATTTAATAATAATATAATCATACATCGGAGAAAAAATACAATATCACATAATATTATTAAGTTAAAAGTTACTTACACAAGCATAATGATGAATAAATCTACATGGATGCGATTCTATATCCGATTCATTTAGCAACTGACACCGAACCTTGTAACTTGCATAAGTGTGCACACGAAACGCAATCAAATATCTACCACTTTTGTACAATAATGTACATTAAACGCGGAAACAATAAATATCATTAGCCTAGTAAAAACAGAAGTCCGAATAAACAATACGAGCTACACGGCTGGGCCAACCACCGACCGACACGAACTGGCTGCATCGATAGTACAAGCTGTAGCCGCGCAAGCAACGGCGCGACAGTTTATGATAAGAAAGTAAGAAATGAACATAGCCGGCGCGTCGACGTCGACGTGCAATTGTGCGAATTGCACTTGGTACCATATATACCTACATGCGATTTGAACTATACTGCTGTAGGTGAATGCGGCTCATGCCCAGTGCCGGTTTTAGCACTACCAGCGCCCTGGGCGAGATTTCTACGGCGCCCCTAACTGCAATACAAACCCATACGAAAAACCGGCTACGTGCGAGTCGGCGCACCTGAGTGGTCGACCAACCCCGTCCTGCCCTAACGCCGGTACTGCGCGACGAGTACAAATGCGTATACACACAACTATCAATATAACTTGCGTTACGGAATTTTCTAGCAATAAATTTCGATACAGGGAGATACACAATTAAATTTCACATCTAACAAAATTATTCCGAACTTACAGTAAAACCGCGTTCGCGTGTTATAATAAAAAAAACTACAATTCCTAGCGCAACGAGTACAAGTGCGTATACACACAACTATCAATATAACTCGCGTTAGAGAACTTTCTCGCAATAAATTTCGATATAAGAAGATATAGAATTAAATTGCGCATCTAATAAAATTATAGGACTTATAGGAAGACCGGGTTCGCGTGTTATTACAAAAAAACTACAATTCCTAGAGGAACTATCAATATAACTCGCGTTACGAAATTTTCTCGCAATAAATTTCGACACAGGGAGATACAGAATTATATTACCCATCTAACAAAATTATTCTAAACTTACAGTAAGACCGCATTCGCGTGTTATAATAAAAAAAACTACAATTCCTAGCGGAACGAGTACAAATGCGTATACACACAACTATCAATATAACTCGCGTTACGGAATTTTCTAGCAATAAATTTTGGATACAGGGAGATACGGAATTAAATTTAACATCTAATAAAATTATTCCGAACTTACAGTAAGACCGCGTTCGCGTGTAATAAAAAAAATACAATTCCTAGCGCAACGAGTACAAGTGCGTATACACACAACTATCAATATAACTCGCGTTACGGAACTTTCTCGCAATAAATTTCGAAATAAGAAGATACAGAATTAAATTGCGCATCTAATAAAATTATAGGACTTATAGGAAGACCGGGTTCGCGTGTTATTACAAAAAAACTGCAATTCCTAGCGGAATGAGTACAAGTGCGTATACATACAACTATCAATATAACTCGCGCTACGAAATTTTCTCGCAATAAATTTCGACACAGGGAGATATAGAATTATATTCCCCACCTAACAAAATTATTCCGAACTTACAGTAAGACCGCATTCGCGTGTTATAATAAAAAAAACTACAATTCCTAGCGCAACGAGTACTTACAAGTGCGTATACACACAACTATCAATATAACTCGCGTTGCGGAATTTTCTACCAATAAATTTCGATACAGGGAGATACAGAATTAAATTTAGCATCTAATACAATTATTCCGAACTTACAGTAAGACCGCGTTCGCGTGTAATAATAAAAAAAAAGTACAATTCCTAGCGCAACGAGTACAAGTGCGTATACACACAACTATCAATATAACTCGCGTTACGGAATTTTCTAGCCCTAATTTTGATACAAGGAGATATAGAATTAAATTCCACATCTAATAGAATTATTTCGAGCTTACAGTAAAACCGCGTTCGCGTGTTATAACAAAAAAAGTACAATTCCCAGCGCAACGAGTACAAGTGCGTATACACACAACTATCAATATAACTCGCGTTACGGAATTTTCTCGCAATAAATTTCATTACAAACAGATACAGAATTAAATTCCACATTTAATAAAATTATTCCGAATTTACAGTAAGACCGCGTTCGCGTGTTATAACAAAAAAAAACTAGAATTCCTAGCGCAACGAGTGCAAGTGCGTATACACACAACTATCAATATAACTCGCGTTACGGAACTTTCTCGCAATAAATTTCAATACAGAGAGATACAGAACTAATATGTTAATATGTATCAATATAGAAATAGGATTTTAAAATTAAAGAAAAGGTTGAAAAATGCGATTAAAAGTGCTAAAAAGTGACATTTATCAATTTTTGCCCATTTTCTTCAATCGCGAATATCTAGTAAACTAAAAGAGATAGAAAGGGCAAATTGCAGATTCTTAATCTACGGAAAATTCTCTATAAAATAGGCTAGTTTAAATTGAAATCTAAGAGATGAAATTTTCATTCCTAAGAAAAAATGGGCAAGGGGGTGCTTAATAATTTTTTCGACGATTTTCGATAGCGAATATCTTCTAAACTAAAACAGATAGCAACCAGCGGACTGTAGATTCTAAAAGATTAGATCATTCTCAATGAGATAGGATTTTAAAATTATTTAATTTCAAAGAGTAAAAGGTTGAAAAATGCGATTAAAAGTGCTAAAAAGTGACATTTATCAATTTTTGCCCATTTTCTTCAATCGCGAATATCTCGTTAACTAAAAGACATAGAAAGGGCAAATTGCAGATTCTTAATCCACGGAAAATTCTCTATAAGATAGGCTAGTTTAAATTGAAATCTAAGAGATGAAATTTTAATTCCCTAGAAAAAAAGGGGAAGGCAATTTTATCGTCGATTTTCAATAACAAATATCTCCCAAACTAAAAGAGATAGCAACCAGAAAATTGTTGATTACGGAAGATTGAAAAATTCTCTATCAGATGGTTATTTAATATAATTTAATTTCTTGAGGAAAAACATCCATCGTGGAATTTTCGATAGGAGTCGTGAGAAATTTGTTTGAAGCTACCAGATACCTGCACGAAATTGGCCACAATCCACGTGTAGTACCTACATGCCGTAGCCGAGCAAGCAACGACTAATAAGAATAATAAAGTAAGAAGCGCAAAGCCGGCGCGTCGATAGCAGGCGGCGACTGCCCGCGACCTTGTTCGCGAATTGCAATAGGCACAATACCCGCGATTTAAACAAATCTACAACAAGCAACAGAGCGAGACGTGAAAGGATGGCAACGACAACACACGGTAATCTTGGACGTTGCTATTCGCACAGATATAAGGTGTAAATTGTGTTAAAAAAAAAACACAATTCTCTTGTCGAATGTTCACGATTGCTGATAAATATAAGTAAATATGAATAAAACAATTGTATTTTATGATTTTTAGTTCATGCTATTGCCATTTATAAATGATACCGATGCTAGTCCCACAATTTAGATTAGGTATTGAATTTAATGATAAACGAATATTCGATTCACGTAATTCAAAATTCTTATGCTGAAAGATTACCCAATTTCACATCTAATATTTAAGTGATATATAAATTTTACGAAGATAAGACGTTGAGAATTGTATTTTAGTGAATCTTATTTAAAGAAAACTTCAACCACATTGCAGAAAAACAATAACACTAAATAACATGACAACTAAACTGAAATCTAGGTACACGGAAAACAGTTTTTATAAATAATGGAATTATTTTACTTACCAGTTATAGAAGACGGTGAATCGACGGCAAGTTGGTAGAAACTGAAATAAATTAGAAACAAAACATTAATTACATTATTTTTAACCATAATGAAATGAATTTGAGTCCCGTCGGAACGCAAACTTGTATGTAATAATGATAAGAATGACAATATTTACCTGATAGCGCATTAGTTCATGCTCCTCTGTTTATGGCAAAAATGTTTTTCACAAATCAATTAATTCTTGGCGTTCACAAAATGTCTCCGGCCGTCGCCCGACGACAACAACCCCACAAACACACTCGCGAATACACTAAACACGCCAAATTTAGTATTACGAAAATTACCACGCGATAAACAACTAGTAGAAGACCAAACACGTCTATTAACACTAATTATCACCGGAGATCAACCAGATATAACGCGATTTACCGAACTTGCAACAATGAATAACACAAACTGAAAGTATGGAATGTGGGCTTATCGTTATCGCACCGATGCAACACAACAAAATTCACTCGCTGGAATATTTTTAGTAAAACAAACATCGTCGCGCCATCTGAGGAATCTTTGTAGTACCACAAAAAGTATAGAGTGTCTCAAGAAGTGTAGCGTTTGTCGTGTTGTATTACAATTTTAAGTCAATATATTTAAAAATGTCTGAAAATGTGTGTATTTATGTGGACGTAAGATGTTAATGATGTTAAATGTTATTGATGTGAAACTATCAAAAATAAAATTTACAAAACAGAACTACCTTCATTATGAATTCAATCTAAAATACTGATAAAAACGATTTCGGTGCAATTTTTCCAAATATGGTGGCAAAAATTGCCAAGTCAAAATCACAAAGTTGAAAATCGGAAAGAGTATAACGAAATATAGGAAACTACCCTTTATGATAACCATTGGAAAACAATTAACTGCTTACTTATTTCATTATTGATGAATTAATTGATGTTTCGGCTTTACACGTGTCGCACGTGTTTAAAATCAATATGAGGAAGCAATAATTGCATGTTTTTAAGTTGTAACATGAATTTGGAGTATCTGGGCTAATAGGGCACCTATTCTTTCTATATAGAGCATTATACAGGTGGTCCAAACATGAAAATCGCTCCAGAAACGCAATTTTGGACCGTTCATCCATAATAATCATTTACAAAAGATATAAAATTCAAATGAGAAGTTGACCTTACTATTTATCACGGTTCGCTGTATCAACAAGACATAAAAATAAGCACGAGATTGATTGCGAAAGGCTTGGTCTATTATGTATTTTCACTTTCAGTAGAATTCGATCCAAGTTGATCTGACTTACAACAGCAACTTAACCTCTGAATTTTGCGTAGTTTTTCACATAACACATCAGAACAACTAGTAAACACAAGATGCGAAAATAAATTATAGTGCGCAATAAGAGTCTGTTCGTACTTGCATTCAAACGCAACAGACTAATACGATTGTCTGTGGAGATCAGTGCTGTTGACAGAGTGAAAATGGCTCTTAATGGGTTGCTAAGTTCCTTGATTCGCTGCAGCACTGGAAATTACAGTAGCTGCAGCAGTGCCACCAGTGTAGTCCTATTTCAGAGATGCTCTAGTCATAGGTAATATATTCTTAATATTAATTATAATTTTACTTATAAAAATTTAAGCTGTATTATTTAAGTTAAGGATAATGGCATCCACTACCAGGGATGCCCAGTATTTGAAAAGAACAATAATGATATACAATTATTTATTGAAGTCTATCATAATATGTGTGGCATTATTGCAATATGTTAATATATTTCTGTTTTCTGTGTGTGCAGTTTAAGAGTAGCTTATTATTCAACCAAAAATGAAAAGAAAGTGGAGATTACCAACTACATGCTACAGAGATACTCAAACTACATTAGGAACTTTGAAAGTTTACTTGCGAAAAGATTTCCAAAAGCCATGACTGTTTATAGAGGGTTCATGGATGGAGTGTCCTTTTTCTATCAGGATGTAAAGCAGTTCATGAAAATCTTACCTAAAGTTAATGTACCTGGCAAGAGTTTGCACAAATTAACCAGACACGAATTAGAAATTTATGAAAGAGTACCTAGAGAAATGGTTAAATTGGCACCTGTATTGATTGGTTCTGCACTCCCGGCCGGCTATATGGTGCTCATGCCATTGGCGTATCTATTTCGAAGCAGTTAATGACTGAACACTTTTGGACGCCAGAGCAGAAGAAACGCTTTGGAGACGAAAAATGATCAATCGACTGAAACACAGCAATGCAATCATAAAACTGTTGACGGCGCCGAATGTGTGCATACAGAGTCAGATCGTGGATGCAAAACTGTGGTTGTTGCTACAAGCCGAGATGAAAACGAAGCAGATTATTCTTCCGCATAAATATATTGGTTGTATTGATATGTTTAAGGGTATTCCATTTCATTTGGATAAAATGTCTAGATTGCATTTGGTGAGACCCGCATTGAGCGATTATGATTTTAGGTTTAAGAGTTTATTTGATTCTATGTGTGTTTTTAGATGCACTTAGCAAAACTCCACGACGTCAACACATTCTGGCGCACCAAACGAAAACTGAGACACAAAGCGCAGTTAATTCTAGCGATGGATCGTGCCATAATCAAAGAAGGTGGCATTAAAAACTTGACCGCTGAACAAATGCGCAAAGTCTGTCATCTTAGAGGTACACTATATTAACTTGGCTGTAAATTCATGAAAAATTATTCTTTTCGATGTTTGTAGGTTTAAACGCTGAAGATCTCGACGTAGACACAATGATGAAGTGGTTAAATAAATGGATGCACATCTCAGTTTCAGCTGATGAAAATTCCCTCTCGTTTCTATTGCATGCGTCCGCGGTGTTAGGATACAACGCTCCTGCGAATCGCAGACTCTTGAAATCGGAAAAGTCAGCGTTGAGTAAGCTGCGGTTGAACAGTAGAGCCGCCTTGAAGCGTATGACACATTAAACCAATTTCAGAGAGGTGGTTGAGCAGAAGAAGAAGAAAACGTCACTAGCTAATTTAATGATAACAATTATTGATAACAATGTGAAAGTTGTGCCTACACCAAAGATGAGGACAGTTTTGTTTGTTAATTGTTACAACAAACCGGTTTGTTTATTTCAAGCAAGAAATATATTTATTTGAAAAATTATTTCAGGGCGGACAAATAGTTGTGTTCTTGCCTTGTCCTTTCCTTCATCGCCAGTGTCTTAGTTTTGCATCCTACTGCTATGCATTATGCCTAATTATCTTCAAGTAGTACATGTGCTCAATTTTAGTTCTTTTTAGTGATCCCTCCACATCCAGTATAACAAATATTAATTGAAAATAACTTTATTTTAAACCAATATATATTTAAAAATATAATAAGTCCTTATTCATCAAGCAATAATAAGTAAATCAATAGATATTTGTAAATTTCATCTAAGCGCGCGTAACCAGCAGCAAAAAATCAAAGATCACAGCGAAATGAACGAAGGCAACGCGCCAAGTTTCGGCCGATCGAAAATACTACCAACCTCTTCGATTTCCTCCGAATCTTCAACATTTTCCCCCACGTTACTTACACCATTAGCAACACTTGATGGGCATTCATAATATCGCTTATTATCGACGTTATCTTGTTTATTCTCCGTTTTAACATGCGCACGAACTTTATTATTCACCGGTTGCGCTTTGCCTTTTCTCTGCACCTTTGATTTTCTGTTTCTGGCGATAACGTTCAGCAACGTGTCTTTGTATTGTCTTACCGCCTTGCCGTGTGGATACCTACACAACTTCTTGCTGCATTTCCCATCGCGCTCGAAGTCCGGACACAAAAATTGATGTCGTTTATCACACTATAGACATAATGAAAGCAATAAATTGACAAAACTTAAAAATACATTAACATATACCTCGCGTGCTTTCGCACAATAACCATTGATGAAGTCCCGACACACTGGCGCATTCCTACTCAACTTGACATGTAAATACGGGCAGTTATCCTTGTGGCAAATCCCTTCCAAGTAGAATTTACAAGTTGGCATCTTTTCAGGCGATGCTTTATGCGATAACGTGCATTTGTCATCTCGGCAAATCCCTTGCAAAAACCTAAAACGGAGTTTTAAGTTTACACAAATAAAATAAAATGAAATGAACCAATAATTTTACCAGACACAAATTTGTATTTGATTTGGATCATGTTTCTTTGAACACTTTCCATTTGCCAGGCCTTTGCAGGTTCCTCTTTTGTTGTAAATTTCACAAGGAATATTATTCTTCTGTAACTTCCTCTTGTTGATTTTTCTAGAACAATTTATCAAACATTTTCAGACCTTGAAATCCATAGTAAACGTAAAAATATAACTTACACCAAATTGCGTTTGGTAAACTTCTTTTTTCGTACTAACATCGGCGTTTTCTTCAATTTGTCACTTGAATTATTTGTACTTTGTGACAACTTACCACTCCTAATCAATTTAAACTTAGTATTTTTAATAATGCTGTTCTGTGGATCTAATCTCATCATATAAGCCTTTTTGGTCAACTTATATCTAGATCTGATGATTGTACAAGATTGTTTCCTTGTCCTATTATCGAGTTTGAATTTGTTTGGAGAATTCAACATTGATACTGATAACTTTCTCAATTGCTGTCTCATTCTTGGACTCTTTGGCAACTGATTGCTACTTCTCACAAGTTTATATTTAGTTTTACAATATTGGATTTTTGTACCAGGTTGTTTCGAATTAACTTGTGCCTACTAATGATTTGCTTTGGTTTGTAACTCTTTTCACTCATAACTCTTTGAGATATTGTTGAATTTATTTTTGATTTAGTAGCAACTCTGACCAGTTTAGTTTTAGTTTTAATGATTGGAGCCTTAATTAAGTTATTAACTGAATAAGTTTTCTTCACCATAGATAAATTACTGTTGACTTTTGAATATTTTGTATACATTGTGCTGGATGTGGTTGTGGTGGTTGGAATTGTACTTGATGCAGTTTTAGGAGGCTGCATGGCACCACCAACTTTATTAAACACATTTGGGTTGACAAAGACGGTCTTGGGTTTAGAAAATTCGGATTAACATGAACTTGTCTGCTGAAGTTTGGATTCACTAGAACTGTGTTACTGACAGGCGGCTGCATAAAATTCTTGTTCACATAAATTCGGTTTGTTTGTTGTGCAATTGGAGGCGCATATGCTGCCATTGGGTAATAATATTGGTTAGCTACAAAAGTTTAGATTGTTTCGAATACATTTATAGAATATAATTTCTCTTAAAAACTTACGGATATATTGTTTGTTGGAGTAGTTGCTGTATTCTGGATGCATGGCGATAATATCACAGTGTTCGTTTGATTTTCCAATACAACGCAATTTATAACATTTTACTGTCATGTTCAGCTGCGAATCAGTTATTTAACCTTCACAATGTTTCCCAACCGCAATCCCCTAGAATTATTAACGAACTAAAATTTATTTATTTCCGAATAATACGAGCTATTTTGTAATATTTCAATATGATAAATTAAAGTTATGGTTTAATAATAAATAGTTGTAATAATATTTAAGATAAATGATATTCTTTTGTAAGTAATATTTAAATTCTGGTTACATTTTTTGCTTCCTCTATTCACCTAGCGGGCAACAAGTGATCGGCAGTGCAGCCAATAACGGATATGCGCACAAGCGTTGCGCAGTAAACATTTTGTGGGGCCTTCCGGTGGACATAGTTCTTTTTCAACATCATCCAGCCATGGTAAGTCGTCTGTCGCGTTTTGCCTTAACATTTTCCTAAATAATCATTACAATACGTACCGGGTAGAAGAACGTTCAGTGAAATTTAAACAATCAATAATTTGTGAAGTGATTTTTGCACTCCTTGATTATATTACTAGTATGCGATTGAATTAAAATGGGAAAAGCGTTCGACATGCCTTACATACCCTAACCTCACACGCATGTTTATCATAACGTTTCATAAGTTAATTTGGTTTTATTTTAGCCCTTCAGTAGGTTTGTTGAGACAGGCCGCGTGGCTCTGATCGCCGACGGCGATTACAAGGGAAAATTGATCAGTATCGTCGATGTTATTGATCAAACTAGGGTAAGTTTACTTTTTAAATAAATTTTATCTAGTGTTAGCAACAGCTGCACACTTTCTTCAGAACTTTTTATGATGATACTATTTGATAGGAATTGCCGTCTGATACATAAATGAAGCTACTTTAATTTTTATCTGATTATGCTTAAATACCCTTTGTTTTTTGAGTTTATATAAATGATTGTGCTCAATAGTGGTTATTTATTTTTGCAGGTATTAGTTGATGGACCGTTGACGGAGGTTCCACGTATCCCAATCAGAATCAACCAGTTGCATTTGACTAAATTGAGCGTCAAATATCCGTTCTCAGCCCCAAAACGCGTTGTACGCAAGGCATGGTCTGATGCAAAGGTCTTAGAAAAATGGGACCAGTCCATGTGGGCAAAGAAATTGGCCTCCAAGGAAAAGGTAACAATGAAAACATATAATTCATTTAAACTAATTCTCAGAGACAAATAAAGTGATGATACATTTTGATAGGAATTGCCGTCTGATACATAAATGAAGCTATTAAAACCTAACTGATACTTCAAATAATTAACTAGATGTATATTGAAGTATTGAATTCATTTTAATATTATGTTAATTTACTCTTCCAGAGGCAAGCGATGTCTGATTACGATCGCTTCAAACTGCGCAAGGCCAAGTCCAGGAGGAACCGTATCCGCACCGTCGTCTTCCACAACTTGAGGTCGACCGGAGCGCGTAACGGATCACTCTTCGGCAAGAAGACGAAGGGTGGCGACAAACCCAAGCCGAAAAAGGGTGCCGCCAAGGCCGCGCCGGCCAAGAAAGTAGAACCTAAGAAGGCTAAGAAATAAACAGGTGCGCCTGAATTTAATAATAAAAAATATTAAATACATTTTTGATAAGGTCATTTACTTTATATTCTTTGAAACACCTTAAGATAAGTCACTTCAGTAAGATTTAACCATGAAAATGGTTAATACCGGCTACACAAAAAAATTACTTCTAATATAGACAGGAATGTATTTTAAGTGCGCGAATCAAAAAACTGGCCCCAAATAACTTAAAATTTATATATGTAGTACGACGAAGATGCGCGACATTTATAACTAATTTATATCAATCTTATGTACACGAGTATACATAACATTCAATTAGCTGCGCGTACTTCAAAGTTTTGTTCAGCTTATGATTACTTTAAATAGTCTATCAATGTAAAATTGCATCTTTATCACAAATTGTTTGTAAATTCTGGGAATGTTCTGTATGTTTGTCGTCGAACGCAGAGATTTGAAGTATAGAGAGATCAATTCACCAACCAAGAGAGCGAGCGTGAGCGCAAACAATTGAAAACAGTTCGCAATGACTAGTGTTGGAAGCATACGAACAAAAAAAAATATACACGACTAGATCCAACAATTCTACATTTTACCATGACTAGAGAGTGAAAGTACGGTGGGCTCGTCTTTCAGGAATGTACTAGAACGTACCATACCGGGAGATTTTTGCGGCGACTTCGTCTCAGCTTGCACGACCTTCTTAGTAGTCGTGGACACAACTTGTTTGCGTTTTACGCCGATCTTCTCATTTGATTTTGATATCTCCGTGTGTTTTTTGGAAGCTGTAGGCGTCGCAGGTTTACGCGTAGCTGCGCTATTCACAGGTCTCCGGGGCGTATCTTTTTTAACAACGGGTTCCTTGTTGGCGGATTTAGAAGATGCGCTTTTGCGTAAGTTCGACGGAGCTGAGATAGGACGTGGTTGTGTAAGACTTTGCGGTTGTTGCTTCGGATTGGATGGTTTGTTGTGTCTGGGCGGCGCGCTCTTCGCAGCACTTGCGGCTGTCGGCATAGTAAGGGTGCTTATACGACGTGTGGCCGAAGGACTTGGCGGGACTTGTGGAGCTCGCGCGGCTAGTAACAAACTACGTCGTAAGGAGGGGCTGGTGTGGCTCTGGGAGGTCGCGGGGCTGGAATTTCGCGACGATTCTGATGAACTGGTTACTGTTTTAGAGCTGATCATGCGCGGTAGCCGGCTAGGAATATCAGTTTTGGTATTTTTCACCAGGGACTCGGACATTTTCGCAAGAGATTTAATATGTGCGCGAAGCTCAGGCTCCATGCGCAACCAACGCTGGCACTTTCCTAATTTGTGAGATTTCAGAACGATGCGACGCTCGATGTGCTCCTTTAATTTCACTAACATTTCGTGCAATGTTACATTAGCACTATCTTTGGTTTTAACCAACATGTGAGAGCATCTAAACAGAAACCATTAAACATGTATTAGAAATAAAGTGTTAATGTGTTAACTGAGATAATTACCTGGAATAAACACCGCAATCTTGATCCAACGTCAATCCAGATGAAGCGTTGAGTAAGATTTCCTCAATTCGCGGATAATTCCAAGGTTCTGCATCCATCAACGTCGGCAGCACGGCGGTGAAGTGCTGCGTTACATATGTCTGACAGGTTTGTGATAATTGTAGCGCTAATTGAACAACCGGTTCGGCCCACTTTAAATTGGGCAGAGAAGCCAGTAATCGGTCGCAGGACAAACTAGTGGCGAGGACGGTAGCAGCGCTCATGTGAACCACATGCTGTTGAACGCATTTTTTCGCGCAATTCGCGCTGCAACGACGCGAACGCCCTGCTGGGCCATATACGTAGATAATGTGTTGTTATCCACTTCAAACATTTTTGATACAGCTCATCTAATCCATACGCAGACGATAATGGCAAAACCTATCAAACATTATATAATATATTGTTCGTTCGGTTATATAATGATAAAATAAAAATAGTATACCTCCAAAACCCCCTGTAAGACATCCGGCACATGGCGAATGAAAGTTGTGACAATGCCGCGATTTCAAAGCATGCGAAACAACCTCCTTCAATCCTTCCAGGCTTAACAAATCAGCTAAACTTGCCAACTCCACCAGACTAATGGAGTCCGGTACATGCGATGCGCCGCTATAGATGTGACACAGCGCAAAATGCACAGCATCATATGAAAAACCGTCCAATTCAATCGATCGCCCTCGAAGAGTCCCAGCAAAGTACTGACATCGTGATATCAGAATGCAACGATGCGCTTTAATGCTGCGGTTGCCCACATGCACGTGGGTATCAGTGTCCATTTCTTCCAGGAACATACGCAGCAGGTCCGTACCAAGGCGGCGTTGAGACGGCCCAGTTTGGGATCCTAAACGGAGTTTTAATAACAATGGGCGTTAATTACGATAATTAATGAAAGACACACAAAATGGAAAGAAAGCAGAAAAAAGTTAGATTATTTGCTTTCAATGGCGTGCGATTTAGTTAACGCGGAACTTTGCGACTTTGTGGGTGACCTCGATTTGATTCTTTTCAAAGTATCTCTCAGTTAGCGTAGACGCGAGAAATCTATCAGACAGATTAAGCCGAGAAGTAAAATCAAGCATCTTTCACTAATGTGCTACTTAAAAGTACATCAAATAACTTAAAGAGATTTACTCAATTATGTAGCAATTACAGAAGTTTGAATATTCGGTTATGTTTATATTAGAATAACGGTAAAATTTTCATTTTCCGTGCATTTTTTTTTAAATTTTGTTTCGAACAAAACATAAAATATATCAGTGCACACAAATTGAAACATAATAATTGTTTAAATATGTATTCACTTCACACCTGGGTTACATCGTTTTTGTTTGAGGCATTAGAAGGTCAACTCTTAGTCATTGAGCAGATTTTTTTCGTACGCAAATTTGTCGATACCGAGTAAACATACGGGTTTACACTTTTATCCAAATACAGTAATGTTACCGCCGTCATTTGCATACGTGAATCACCTGTGGTGGTTTTGCGCTTATTTCACCAAATGTATTTGAAAAAAGACTTGAAACAATAGTTTTAAATGCATAAACTCACCTGTACTATCTGAGAGACTAGAAGTATCAGGTTCCATTGGCCTTGGCGCAATGCGAAACCCCGCAGATCGCGACATTAGCAGCGGACTCTCCACCCAGGAACTCTCAGGAATTGAGCGACTCATCCTTGGACACACAACGTCGTTGCAAACGTCGCTATCCAATCGCGCAGGCTGACACATTAAGTCGGACAACCTCACAAACTATGTAAACATTTAGATGTTTAGACAATTGCCATAGAAGTTAATACAAATTCTTTACTTTGGTGTCCGATTGCAACTCGGGCGATTTCTCGGTGATATCGATCCTCGTTTCGCTAGATGCGTCCGTTATGAACGACACAGCTTCCACTTCGGAGCTGTTATCGTCGTCAACGCACTCCAAGGTGAATTGTACGGCCGGAACACGATCCGGTGATCGAATTTGATCGTATTTAGCTGTAGTGTCATCGGCGTTTTCGGAGATGTCACCTCAACTTTAGTTTTACTTGCGGCTTGTTGCTGAGGTGACACCACTGCTGATTTTGTAGCTTTGTCACCTTTTGATCCATTTGATTTTCGCCGGGCGGTGTTTCTAAACAAATGTGATGGCATATCCTTCTTGGGTGCTTCAAAGTCAATCACCATAGAGAAAATGTTTTTTGTTGCTGATGCATTAGAGGCCACCTCTTGTGCTGGCTCATCTTCAACATCATTGAGATCTACATAGAACCCTAGACAACATTTTCATTATTTAGTCTCCTATTCTTAATTTAAAAATATTATTATTTACCTAGTGATGGTTTATTAGTGTTTTCCTCTTCAATGACTGCATCAGCATCAACCTCAATCCCATCTGACATATCAGATACACAAACAGAAGTAAGCTGTGCCCCATTCAGGTGTACAATAGAGTTGTAGGGTGTCTCAGGTGGAGTGTCATCGGATGGTCCAGCTAACTGAAGCATTGTGCTGTATTGATGGATGCCCGTTTGAAAGAGAAGAGCGCCTTGGCGGCGCTCCTCGGTGCGACGCTGCTCCAGCTCGCAGCGCGGCGAAGACGACGCCGACGTGGTGGTCACCTCATCGTCCTGCAGCAGCGCGGCGTCGATGAAGCAGTTCTGGGCGCCGTTCACCAGCTGCTCATTACGGCGTTGCTTTTGCTCCTTGGTGCGCGTCCGCCGTTGCTCCTCGTCGCTGCCGAGCCCCGAGTCCATTTCATTTGTATACATGTACGGCACGCACTCGCTGCTGGCCGCGCCAACATTGAACATCTAACGCATTTAACTTGCGGCCGCCGTGCAAAGAGAGTCGCGTGTTTATTCAATAACAAAGAGAGTATGAACGAGAGTAGAAGCAAGCACGACACCTGTACGCACTCACCGCGGACGGCTATCTAATTTTATTTGATTATTGTATAATGACGTTCCACACCAACACAAACTAAAAGACTGAGTAGGGATGCGATATCGCAGGTTAGGAAGTTTTATGTATTTCCTGCGGGATTGGCTAGAATGTTTATTATGCAGTGCCATCTAATGGTGATTCATTTATAACCAATAAGTAAACGTTCTTTGCAACGTTTTTTGTAATACAAACTTTAAAAACTTAACAATGAATCGAACTTGTGTGGTTTGCAAAGCGATTGACGCTAATTACAAATGCCCAAATTGCTTAGTTCATTAGTAAGTTGACTCTTTAAACTAATACAACAAAGAACTATATACAAAACTATAAATTTTAGCTGTTCTGTATCATGCTGCAATCAACACAAAATGGATAAATGTGTGAAAGTGGTCAAGAAAATAGAATCATCAGATTGTCTTAAATCTCAAGAGTCTCAAGATCTTCAAGAAAATAAATCTCATTCTACTGACAATGGGTTATATCCTACGAAAGATACAATTGAATTAAGTAAACTACATTATTTAAACAGCAGTGATAAATTAAAAGACATTTTATCAAACAAACATTTGAGGACCTTACTGGAAAGTGTAAATGATGCAGAAAATGCTGAAGTGGCAATGGCTAGTGCAATGCAAGAACCTATTTTTGTTGAATTTGCTAATGCTTGTTTAGCAGCTTTAGAACAGTAATACTAAGCTAGCATTCAAATATAAGTTTTGAGTTTCAAATAAATATGTTTTTGATGATTAGTTTGCATGTACATTGATAAGTTTGACAAGCGGATGTATTGAAGATAAAATATTTTGTTTGATGGTTTGCAGTCAAGTTTATATTCTCTTTGGATCAGTGTACATTAACTGTTGACCAAGTTGAGAAGAATAAGAAAGAAAGTAAAATAAAATTAAGTTGTCTCCAACATGATTTTGCAAGTTATTGTGATTACTTTGGTTCAGGTTTTTAGTGTTAGCTCTTTCTGTGAACATATATACTATAGGGATGGTTTTAACCACAGTGATACAAATTATCAGCGTTTTAATACTCGTTCCGGCTATGTGATCTCAAACTGTGTTGTTGAACAGCTGTACAATCCTACTAAACAAGACCATTTTATAATTTATTGGATAATCAAAATGATTACAGTTTATATCAGATGAATACCATAAACATTAGAATTCAGAGAAATTACATAGCAAATTTCTCAGCCAAAACTTTTATGACTGATAAAATTGCTTGTTATTATGGAAGAATAAACTTGATTGTTGAAGAATCACATGTGAATCACATTTCAGAAATACCTGTGGAAATATTAAGGACAAGTACTTTCAATAATAAAGTTAATGGACCCATATGTAATGTAAGCTATGAACTTATTAAATTTACAAACAATAATATTACTGAAGTGGATCCAGAAATGTTTAACGACATCGTAAATTTGACAACCATAGATCTTAGTAATAACAATATAAAGGTTTTCACTACTAAGCAATTAAATAATCTGCCAAAGCTGAAGTATTTGTATTTGTCCAAGAATAATATATCCAATTTTGATATGCTTTTTGGAAAGCTGAATAATTTGCAAGTGTTAGATTTGTCAAGCAATAATATTACAAGTCTAGCGAAGAATGCATTCAAAAATATTGGAAGTTTGGAGAAATTGGACATATCCTTCAATAAAATGACAAATATAGCTTCAGGTACTTTTATATATCTGAACAATCTACAGTCATTAGATATTTCGCATAATTTCTTGACAACAATCGACATTGGTTCGTTCAGTGGCCTAGACAATTTAATGTTCCTATACCTCAGCCACAATCACATGGTACCCAGCAAATATTTGATGTTGCATAGTCCGAAATTACACACTCTGGACTTGAGTTTTAACGAATTACACAATCTAGACCTAAACATATTTAATGATCATCAGTTATCTGAGATAAACATTGATGGCAATAAATTCTCATGCCAACAATTGATTCATTACATCAATAAGTTTAAAACAATGCAAACTCAACTGCAATTTGGGACAGAAAAGGATCGTCTAAGCTTGCGTGGTATTCATTGCAACGATACCGAATCCAATGAAGATATCACCATCAACATTGAAAACGATGCGAATGCATCGAATGATTTCTTCAAGTTTTTCAATCAGGGATTCAAGGAAAGCAGTTTCTTTAAATTCTTCAACAACTTTGCTGTCAACAAGAACAAAGCTGTCGATGATGGTGCGTACGCGGATGCAATGAAATCATTGGAAACCTCAAGCAGGAATATTGTAGGCGCATTGAATTCAACGATGGATAAAATGTTGATGGAAATGCAAGCGCAAAACAGGAACAAGGATGATGATCGCAAATTAGCGGACGTGGATTCAGATCGTGCCGAGCGCACTCAACTTATACAATTGTTTAGCAATCTTCAAACGGAACTGAAGCGCTTTGATAAGAGTTCCGATAAATTAAATGAATTAGTAAGCGAGAAATATGTACAATCGCAAGTTCCGGCAGATCACGCGCTGGGTGTTTTTAATATACTCATTGTTATCATGTGTTTCATTTCGTTTATTGCCATTGTGTTGGTTTTGAATCTATTTTGGAACAGTTCAGTCAAATGGCGGCCACTGAATCGTAATATTGTTAACATTGACGATGGCGTTAGTCGCTCCGAGTTTTGTTCTATGACCGATACATTGTAACTTTTTTTATTATTTTCCTATGTAAACTGTACAATTTATTCTATGAATTTCTATAAACTAATCAATTTTTAATGGATTATATTGTTACTGAATATATCATGCAATAAATTTGGTTTGGTGATTTGATGTCTGATTTAGAACTACTCAGTATATTACTTGAAACTTGCTAAAAGTATGAATTTTTGTTAGAATTATTCTGTAACACAAAAATAGTTTTTGGAAACCATAAATATTATGAAAAAGCATAGCAGTTTTAGTTTGTAGTTTTCGGCCTGTTCGAACTTTCTGACCTTTTACCATGTTTACACAAAAATTTTCTGATTATTTGCAAGGTCATGTTGCATTTCAGATCTCTACACGAAAACAAAAGATCTGCTTTTTTCCTCCAAATTTTTATATTCAATGCAAAAAAGAAATTATTGACTACTTCTAATAAAAGCTTTAATTATATTTTAAAACGTACGTCTTTTGAATTCCCCTCACTGGAGGTCCTATAAATTCATAATCAACAAGTTACACTCTTCATATTTTTTCCAAGTTTATCGGCAGGACTATTATGTTGATTACCAGAGATTACCACTCGCTTCGCGCAACTGAAATTCCAAGAAATGTTGAGTTCATAGTTTACTTGAATCGTAATACAGGTCAATTTCAGGTCGCATTTATATTGATAAAACCATGATATTATAGGATAAATCCAATCCCACTGGTTTGATTACTTAGTTGAATAGTAGAGTTGATATTGTGCGGTTAGATTATAGTTTATTTAATACATAACAAACTGTCAAAGCAAAAAATACTTCGAAAGTAAATTAATACTCCATTGTGCTCAACATGATTCTGCAAGTTACTGTGTTAGTTTTCGTTCTAAAGTTTGGATTTATTAATTGTAACTGTAAAGAAGTTCCCGACCCATTTTTGAGCCATATACAAAATTCCTATCGATTCTATCCTCATATACTATTTCATCGTTTACACACTGCCTGCTTCATTGAACATGTGAACATTACGAAGGATGATCAATATGTCGATTTAGAGATAGATACAAGTACCACAGATTATGGCACCTCAAATATCTTTTCCCTGAATATTACAGATAGCACAATACCTGACTTTTCAGCCAAACCATTTATATCTCCACAAATTGCTTGTACATATGGAATCATTAGGTTGTATGTTCGGAATGCTTCCGTAAATCACATCAAGGCATTCCCGATCGAAATAAACACTAGCGACTGTCACGCAAATTATGATTATATAGAATTTACCAACAACAATATCGCCAAATTAGATGGCGAAGCATTTCACAACTTAGCCAATTTGTCAACTCTAGACCTGGCTAATAACAATATTAAGATTATCGGTGAGTTGACATTTAAAAATCTAACTATGTTATACCAACTGAATCTATCAAACAATAACATATCAAAAATTGAGAAGGTTTTTGGAAAACTGGACAGCCTTACAAGCCTCGACTTGTCAAGAAATAACATAGCAAATAACCTTTCAAAAAATGACTTCGTAAACATTACAAACTTATATAACTTAACTGTGTCCTACAATCAAATATCTAATATTGCTTTAGGTACTTTTTCGCATTTGAACCAATTAGAAATCTTAGACATTTCTCATAATCTCTTGACAACCATCGACATGAGTTCGTTCAGCGGCCTACACAATTTAAAATATTTATTCCTAAGCAACAATCACATTGTACCCAACAAATATTTAATGTTACATAGCCCAATGTTGGCAAAATTAGATCTAAGTTTTAACGAATTAGAGAAATTAGATTTGAAGTTATTCACTGATCATCGCTTAAATGATATATACATTGACGGCAACAAATTCTCATGCCAACGACTGATTCATTACATTTATGAATTTAACCGCATTGGCACTGAGCTGCACTCTGGGACCGAAAAGGATCGCCTAAATTTGCGTGGTATTCATTGTAATGATACCGAATCCAATGAAGATATTCGTATTGACTTAGAAAGTGACACGCATTCTTCAACTGGCTTGGAAAATTTCTTCAATAAGGGATTCATGGAAAGTGGTTTTTACAAGTTTTTCAAACGTTTTGGTGTCGATGGGGACAAAACTAACAATGATGCTACAATGGACGATGTTATCAAATCAATGGAGACATCGAGCAGAAACATTGCTAGCGTATGGAACTACACGATGGACCAAATATCGATCAAGAATCAAACGCAGAGCGAAAGCAATGATGGCGAGCGAATCTCAACCGATCCGAATTCGGCGGTCAGCAAGGATTTACAGTTGATCGTCGAACGGGAAATCAACCGTTTCGATAAGAGTGCTGATATGTTGAACCAATTAATCAGCAAAAAGTATGTGCAGGCGCATGTTCCTGTCGATCATGCACAGGCTGGTATCTTCAATGTACTTATTGTTATTATGTGCATTCTGTCGGTGATTGCGATTGTATTGATTTTGAACCTGTTTTTGCGCTACCCAGGCTCATGGCGACAACTGAGGAGGAAACATGTTAACTTTAATCAGGGTGTTAGTCACTCCGAATTGTGTTCTATCACTGATACCTTGTAATGTAGAAAATGTTATATGAATTCAACAATGTATCGCATTAAATTTTAACTAAAAGTTGCGGTTTAACAAGCGGAAATGAATTGATAAAATGCTTTTATATTGTTCTCCACTGTGGCTTCTAATTAGTATAGATTAATTGTCAGTCAAGTCAAGAATAACAAATAAAGTACCAGTTATTGGTGTCCAATATGATTTACAAGATTATCTGGATAATTTTAGTTCAAAGGTGTTGGCTTGTTAGTTGTGACTGTAATCACACTGCAGTCAAATTAAACAGACTATCTTATTTACGCTCTAACTGTGTTTTTGAAAATCTAACCAATTCCAACATCTTACTCCACGATGCCGATTTACCAAAGGACCTAAATCGAAAAGCATATAATTGGAATACCATCACTTTAAACCTACAAAATGGTGTGCTAAACAACTTTTCCGCTGGCGATTTGATTGCGGAAGGAATTGCTTGCAATTATGGAAAAATTAACTTACTTCTCAATGATATGCACATCAATCGGATTAATGTCTTTCCAAGCGAAGTGACAACAAAATCCCAAAGTAAATGCAATGTGAGTTACACATCCATCCAATTTACCAACAACAATATCACTGAATTAAATGGACAAATATTTAACAACTTAGTTAATTTGACATCTATAAACTTGTCGAACAATAATATTAAAACTCTTGACAAGCTGATGTTCAACAAATTGAAAAGTTTAAAGACATTAAATTTATCCAACAATAAATTATCTAAACTTGATAACATTTTTGGAAACCTTGAACGACTGGATTACTTGAATATATCAATAAATGATATTACAACTATCCCGAAAGGTGTATTTGTGAACATGACATATTTGCGACATTTGAATGCATCCTATAATCAAATAACTAACATTGCTTCAGGTGCGTTTATATATTTGAACAATTTAATGTATTTGGACATTTCGCATAATCGCTTGACGACAATTGATATGGGTTCGTTTAGCGGTTTGCATAAATTAAGAAATATGAACATTGGCTACAACTACATCAATCCCAACAAATACTTAATGATAAATACACCGAGTTTGATTGAATTGGATATAAGCTTCAATGAATTAGAGAATTTGGATGTTGATTTATTCAGTCTTCAGCACTTGACATCAATAAATATTGATGGAAATAAATTCTCGTGCCAACTACTGATTCACTACATCAATAAGTTCAAACAATTTAGAACAAAACTGCAATTTGGAACCGAAAAGGATCGTTCAAGCTTGCATGGAATTCATTGCAACGACACCGAATCCAACGAAGATATCACCATCAATTTGGAAAGTGATAGCACTAAATCGTATGATGTAGAAATGTTAATTAATCAAAGATTTAATGATACATTGACATTGATGGAAGAATCTAGCAATAATATTGCTAATGCATTTAACTCCACGATGATTCAAATGATTCAATTATTGATACAAACGCAAGTTCAGGGCGAGAACAAAGATTCTTTGCAAAAATCCGATTCGGAGCTGGATTTTCAATCGTTAATTTTAAATGTGCAGGAAATTGCTAATGTACTTATTGTTATAGCCTGCTTCATGGTATTGGTGGCAGTTGGCGTTGTTGTTTGTTGCCTTTGGAATAAAACGTGGCGTTCGCTACGAAACAATGTTCATCTTAGCAGTGTTAACAGCGAAATTAGTCGTTCCGAATTATGTTCTTTGACTGATTCTTTATAACAACTGTAACTATTAAATTACAATGATTTGTTTGTATATTTTTATGTATTATATTTTATGTATTTTATATAACATTTAAATGTTAATATAACTATTATAATCTAATTTGATTGTTAGTTTTGTAAGTTTTAAATATTCAATTACTAAAATCAAACTCAACCTAATTTGTTTAAAAATCTTAACCTTCACTTCATGTCATTTGCAAATTGTTCGCAACCACAGATACATATGGCCCGCGTCATTCTCGATTTGAGTAAGTCGCATGAGTCGCGCTAGTAAACTACATATATTAAGCAGCAGTTTCGTTGTGCTGTTTTTGTCTATTATCTAAATTATGCGTGAAAATGACTATACCAAAACAATCCTTTAAATTAATCGAGATACATATTAATAAATTTTACGAGGAAGCCATCCCACACCATAAGAACCTTTTTGAAACCCACAAACTCACAGCACACAAGGTAAGAGCTAAAGTCTTTGTCTAGAAAAATTACAACGCACTTTATTTTTACCTCAGTTGTCGACATCTGGTAATGTGACGCAGTTAAGCAAAGAAGTTAAGGCGAAAAAACGCGTCGTTAAGCAGTTGAAGGACCTACTCTATGAATTGGATACTCTGAGAACTCAAGTGGATGATGTTGATCTGGATAAATTTGATGACAAAACATTCTCATTTAGGAAAACAGTTACTACATTTATCAAAGACTACAATGCTATTGAGAAACAATCTGTTATTCTATCTGATGCAGAAAATAACATAAATGAAAATATCGAAAATGAAAATCCCTCCAGTAATATTTCACAGATTCAATTGCAGACCAGTTTATCTGAGCTTAAACTGCAGGAACAACAGAGCAGACTGAATAATGTAGTGAATTTAGAGAATGACATTGAAGATCTACATGGTATTTATGTTAACTTAAATGAAATGGTTGTTGAGCAAGGTGAAACTATTGATCAGATTGAGACCAATGTGGAGGAGACACAAGAGAATGTAAATAATGGATTGCAACATTTAGTTACTGCATCAAGGTACTAAATTCTCACATAGCTAACCTACTGAAAATAATCAGAATAATTGCAGATTGAAAAAAGCAAGTTATCCTCTGACAGGTGCACTTCTTGGTTCTTTAGTGGGAGGTCCAATTGGTTTTGTAGCTGGATTTAAAATTGCCAGTGCTGCAGCTTTAAGCTGTGGTGTAATGGGCTATGCAGGTGGGCAGTTTTGAAAAACTGCAATGAATCTGAAGTGGTGGACAATACTACCAATGAATTGAAAGTGGAGACACAAGATGATACAGAAACCTGTGAAACTGCTACTGCTTCCATGAATGGCAGTGATAAGAAAGATAAATGACAGTGTGTTATTATTTAAGTACAAATTGTGGCTTCATTTACATACATATTATGACATTGATATGTGATAACTTCTAATTAATAGTGGATGGTCTCATACTTTAAGTTAAATATATTAATTTCAAAGCATTTACAGAAAATTTAAGTTATTTTGGATGATAGAGTAAATATGAAAGTTACAGTTTCTTAAACTACGTGAAGACGATAAGAAACGCAATTTTACACAAATACTACAGGAGCTACAGGGTGTTCATCCTATCAAGTTTCAGATACAATTTTTGGTGGGCATTTTTGGAGCTTTTTCATAGCCTGGAGAATAAATATCAGAAAAAACCCAAAATGCTACAAAAATGATACAAATTTTCGAGTTTCCCGCAAAGTTAACCAAAACAAACAATTTTTAGTGGTAAAAAAATAATTGGAGAATCCTTATTCAACACAACCATCCCTGATAAGTTAAAGAGTTATCCTGTTATTTATTTGAATATACAACTACAACAACATAACAATTATATTCATCTTACATGAAAAGATCCTAAACCTAAAATAAATAAGAGTTGCAACATGCATATAAATTACTATAGGCTACCGGTACTCTTATTTGAAAGCATTTGTTGTAAGACTGCTTTATGCCTAGATAGTTACCATAGTTATTGAATAAACGACAGTATTGTCTGCTGTTATAGTGCACAACATTGTTGATTGTAGAATATAGTAAGTACAAACTACATCTCATACAGTTACGTTTCAAAAATACTTTTTAACATTTATAAAAGCTAATGCAATATATATATTTATTAGTGTTTTGCTCAAGTTTTAGCTATCTAGTGTCGATTATTTATGTGCCCCGCTTCCTAAAACCATATTACTGAACCCCTCGGCAAGTTAAATATAAAGAAACTAATTTTATGAAAAACAAACTTAAACTAAATTCGGTAATCATGTTACTTAGTTGTGTAACTTCTTAGGTGGACACTGGTATTATTATTATTTATCATGAATAAAATATTACATAAATGAACGTATCGTAACGGTGAAAAGCCTTTTCGAGCCGGATCTGTACAGAAAATCATCACCCAAATATGCATCAGTCATAGGCTATCCAGCTCAGACACTCCACGCTCCTAATCCTAATCGCGTGCCGCGCCGATGATGGTCAAGATGTACATGAAGATGTTAATCACGTCCAGATACAAGCTGAGTGCCGCAAAGATGTACTCCTCCGGCGATATCGAGTACTTGTGATTACCGCCCAACATCATCTGCGTATCGTACACCAGATATATGGAAAAGAGTAAAGCGCCCAACGACGCGTACACCATCGAAACAATCTTGTTGTGCCAAATCATAGCGACAATACCGAAAATGAAGAGAATGACGAGTGCAATAAATAGAGCACCGCTCATCACAGTAAAGTCAATCTTTGTCTGGAAGGCGAAGAGCGTCAGGGCGAGGCAGACGGCGGCGGTAATGCCCACGGCCATAACAACCTCCTCAGATTTGTAGCGCGAGGCAGTCATAGCTAAGAAGAAGCTTTCAGCGACTGTAAAGAGTGTTAGCATGATGTAGTTAGTTGGGGTCTTGCGACGCAACTCTCCACAGCAGGAGAGCGCGATCAGCGATACAATTAACACGATAATGGCGACGATCCATAGCTCTGGATGGCCGGCGACGAATTTTTGCGTTGGTTTGTGGTAGACAAAGAGGCATATGAAGCCGAGAGTTACTGAGAGCTGCAGCAAGAGGATGGAGTACACCTTGCGGATGAACCCACGTCGAATGGCTTTGTCCGTGAAGTCAAAACCCTTCACTTCCGGGTCTTCACCGCCCGTGTAGTTAGTCCCGTACATATCTAGAAAAATAAACGTCAATGAGCAAAGTTTCAATTAACTTTAAGTAGATAAAAATGCTGAATAGCTGGTTATGTTATTAATTTAAGCGCATTACATTAACAAATCCACTAGCTACATGACATCATATAAACGATGGCGTAAATTTAAATGCACTAGTTTGTTATTTTTGTGGTATGTTACTACTGGAGTTTGAACGATAAAAAAAGATGTACTAATTTAACTATTAACAAGTTCAACGGATTGATAATATTTTCGAGTTTAAGTTATTATTCCCTATTTGAATGTGATATAATAGTAAAAAATGATTTAATGAAAGGAAACTTGATAGAAACAAAAATGATGTTATCATTGCCTGACGTGTCCGATTTAAATCGCAATTGCTTATTTTTATGATTAAAGTCCTTACTTATATCGTAGGCTTAAACTCCGTTTTAAAGTTTAAGGTAAAAGATCAGATTGAAAAATTAAATGATTGAATTCGCGTCAAAGTTGAAATTTTCATAGAAATAATTGTGATAGCAAATTTTTCAAATTGTTCTTTTTAAACAATTCTACCGTGTACTGTATTAACAGTATCATTTCTATTGCTCAGTGTTTAAAACCAAAAGAGGAACTTTATGGCGCATACACTAAAATCTTTCTTAAGCAAATCAAAACACCAACATTAGCAAATCACCAACAAGTATTGTTATCACAAATGAACGCGAAATTAACCACATAAAACCTGATGATAACATTGGAATATCCTATGCGCAATGCCCAATACCTAAGCTAGCAATTAGTATTGTTAGTAAATATTAACTGTGACGTGCTAAAGAATGGTATCCGGACGAACCGGATTGGTAATTATGCATTGGCGGCATCTGTCCGTAAGGCATACCGCCCTGCGTCGGCGGCGGCGGATGGAAGCCAGCCCCCGGAAATCCGCCGGGAAAGGTCTGACCCGGGTATGCTGCGCCTGGCGGTGGTGCGCTTGGGTAACCCCCCGGCGGAGGGAACGGACCCGGGTAGGGCGGTTGCTGTCCGTAGCCATACTGATTCGGATCTGTTGTCATAGGAAATTCAAAAAGTTCAATTTTAATATTCAGAAATTCTGATTTTTTAGGTGCACTATGGTTTTGGATGGTGCCCGGAATATTTGAAATTACCTGGTGGTGGGTATGTGCCTTGATTCCACGCCATCTTTGTTTTTCCTGAAGACATAACAAATAAGATTTATTTATGTTTGATTTTTCATGACGAAAATTTGGTGTCCCTGTTACTTTCATCGAATATTGGGATTTTATGCTATTCTTATCAGTGAGTAATCCAAATATCCCGCTCAAAATTAATACCCTCGTATGATTACATATATACTGCTATAATCATTTATTGTAAAAATAAAAGTTAGTTATCAATATGCTTGTAATTTGTTTGTACGAAAGCACAATATTTTTATCGGGAATGTTATTGCGCGCAGAATGAGCTTCTTTGAGAATCATAACATTTAATAAAATCAACACGATAAATAATGCTGCAATTTTACAACCGACAAATCTTCGACTTGCAAACAGTGGGAACCACAATCTGCCAACGACAATTTCATTGCACAACAATGAGTCATACATACTAATAACATTGAAAATCAATATTTACGTCTATATTCGCAGGTGTTGAAAGCTAAACGTGCGAATATCTTTATTATAAGAAACCGTCGCCTCAAATTAGTGTTTCAAATGCATTGAGCATGCAGTGGCTCACTCGGTACGCGTATTGTTTTCAGTCGAATGTAAAACCAATAAACTTGAAAACGAGAAATGCGATCCATGCGATCAACGATAGGCATGCAAACACCGACACTATGGTATATCGAACGCAACGCACTATACTTAATTATAATAAAATAAGGATTACTTACTTTGAGTATCACTGTATGGTAGAACTCACTTTCGATTTAAGCCTGGTTTTTGTCTGTTTTCGTCAATATTTTTTATCGCGGGTCAGCGCGAAATTTCGTTGTCAGCGAGCTTGTGTCATACGACAAAATGGAATTTTCTAGTTTTATTATTAGCGCATGCGCCACTGAGAATTGCCACAATGATTCTGCTTGTTCGTAATAAGCAGCGGAAACCACTACACCAAGTACCGTCAGTATTATTTACAGACTTGCTTTTATCAGTTTGTAAACAGTATATGTGTCAACAAAATATCACATTTCTTGATATATCAAACGCCGTGGAACAAAATAAGATTTAAAAAATGGCGCTAAACGTCAGCACCAACTGCAAAACAATCCCTAGAACTGGGTGTAAGTTACGAATGCCACCGACCTTACTTCGGCAAAATTCGCTCTTAAAAGCGATCTTATGCGCAAGGAATCAAATTCTCATTTTTGATTCATTTATTATAAAATATATCGGTAAGGCATAATGAAAGCAAATAATCGATAAAAATGTATGATAAAAATCTGCAGTCTGAAGCATATAAACAATGACAACTATAGAGAATTCTTATCTCCCTGATAAAATGCGCGCCCAAAGTTGAATTCGACTCAAATCCAGTACGAGACATTGGCGCTTACTGTCAAAGCGCGGACTCCACGGTTGTAAATTCAAGAGAGGGACGTCAAAGGCGAATAGATATTTAGTGACTAGTATTTTTAAAATAATTGTTATAATGGCCAAAAAGACTTATGATTTGTTGTTCAAATTGTTGCTGATCGGCGACTCTGGCGTCGGCAAGACGTGTATACTCTTCCGCTTCTCGGATGACGCCTTCACAACCACATTTATATCCACAATCGGTAAGTTAACCTTTCTGCGCCGTCTTTTTTAGAATTGCAACGATCGCCCGTATCTCACCGACAAAATTAACAATGACAAATTTCATTCTCGATAATTGCCGTCGTCGTTGTGTAAGTGCGTAAGTGCACTCGTGTTAGTACTATTATTAAAACGCTCCAATGTTAGTGAACTAACAAGGGAACAGGGAACTGTATTTATAAATAGAGGGTGAGGTCATTTGTGCCAATTTTGATACATTGGGTCTTATTGCAGGCATAGATTTCAAAATAAAAACGGTGGAGTTGAGAGGCAAGAAAATCAAATTGCAGATATGGGACACTGCAGGCCAGGAGAGGTTTCACACCATTACAACTTCATACTATCGAGGTGCCATGGGAATTATGTTAGTTTATGATATTACAAATGAGAAAAGTTTTGAGAACATAGTAAAATGGTTAAGGAATATAGATGAGGTAAGTTATCTTAATTGCATGTTTTAAATTTAATTACTTACTCAGTAGTAAAAACTTGTTTTGTCCAAGTTATTATTAACTAGCTTGACAATTATGTTAGAATTTTAATGGCAATCATATTTGAATTACTAACTGAATCTTCAAAGAGAAAATGAAATGAATAAACTATGATTCAATTTCTGAGAAGGATTATCAGTAATGCATTTTGCACTCAAATGATTAACATGGGTAATGATTAGGGACAGACAGTGATGTTATTCTAGTAAATAACATAATTGTCTTTATGTGTCTTTATTCTCAATATGTCTTTATCATCCTCTGTCAAAGACGAAAATCATGTTTTAATATAAAATTACTAATTAACGAAAGCACCGAAATGAAACGAGGCGTTTCTCTGACCTAAAATACAATAATTTACTCAAATATGTTCAATTTTTGTTAAATGAATATTTTCTATTTGAAAAATCACCACAAATAATTTGTTACATCATAAATTTTCTTCCAGCATGCAAATGAAGACGTAGAGAAAATGATTCTCGGCAATAAATGTGATATGGATGATAAAAGAACAGTTAGCAAAGACCGAGGAGAAGCGGTAAGAGAAATAGCGCAAAATTCATACATTTAGACTTAATAAACCTGTTTCATGTAGATCGCGCGCGAGCACAGCATAAGATTCATGGAGACGTCGGCGAAGGCGAACATCAACATAGAGAAGGCATTTAGCGAATTAGCGGAAGCGATTTTAGATAAAACAGCCGGCAGGGAGCCGGGCGAACACATTGACCGAGTGACGGTTGACAGAAGACAACAGGCGTCGTCGTCGAAGTGCTGCAGTCACTGAAACTCAACCAATCCCCAACCCCACACACCACATACACGCAATATTTTTAAATCAAACAATAATTGAAACACGCATATTTACTACTTCATACCATCTCTGCATCTTCGCATTTGCATGTAACGATAAGAACAAACATTTTTTTATGTAAATTTAAATAACTATATAGATATATATCGGTTTAAATATGGATATAAGTTATATCGGGTGTGAACGTTAAATTATTGTAGTAGGTGGTATATTTAATTATTGTAAATGTTCATTTCCGAATGACCAAAATCTCAGTGTGTATGACTTTGATTCGAACGAAACGACGACTGCACGATGATGCAGATCGATAGCAATCTAATGTAAAACTCATTGAATAGTTTTTCTTCTATGATTCGAGCGCATACGGTAAGAGTAAAAACAAAGTAAACTTTTGATGTGAAGCCAAAGTGTATAAATCTGCTTAGTTTCTTGCGAATTAATAAAAAAAAATTATATAAATAGGCGTATAGCTTTAGCGTGTATACTGATGGCATAAGTAAACGGATATTAATCATTAATCGACTAAAACAATATGTGGCATATTATATATTAACGACTCTTTGTGAAAACTATTCAGTGATGGATGATAAAAGTAAGAGTAACGTGCTTTTTTACATTAAATTTGATAAATCTCTCTTCTATCTTTTGACTACTTTTGTCAACTACAATATTAGGATACTCATTTGGTTTTATTTATATATAAATGAAAATGTGTTATTGGATTCACTTCAATAATCGCAATATCAATGTATGAAATGCAATTGAAAGAGCTTTTTCAAATAAACTACTACAAACTGGTTTCAATATGATTTATAGTAGGCGTTTAGACGAATTCTAGCGGTGGCATATCTGGATCTATATTTTCTTGCCGCTTCGAGTAATTCTCAACGATTTTACTGAAATCCATATCCGGTTGTGGAGTAACCTCTAAGTAACATCTAAAAATATGATTATAAAACATGTAATGACGGCCATTTTGTTTTCGATACCTGTTATTATCATTTTCTGTTGTATCCGTGTTATACTTTTTTGGTTTTGGTTTATAATTAAGTTTCGGCATTATCAGAACCAAATGTCCTGTAATTTGTGACCTTTGACAAGTACTTGAATCGGTTAGTATTTCTTCCGGTAGTGCGTATTGGAATATTTTTCCTTTAATTGTTACCCTGGCATATAACGGTTGAAGATCTACGTCGATATAACTCGTATCCAAGTGTCTACAATCGCAAAGCATTAGTATGAATTAAAATTAAAATTAGAATCATAAATATTAAAAATATTGTATAAAATACTTGTAAATTGCAATGTCTAAGACGTATTTCGATTCGTCGCTATCATCAAACGTAAAACTCAGTTTTGCTTGATTAATATTAAGCGGTTTTCCAGTTTTGCTATATATTGGCAATTCTTTTGTTTCGTTTTCTTTCACTGCTTCTGTTTCGTCTTTATCTTTTCCTCTTGCAAGTCTGCTACGCCTACTCATCTCGCATCTTGTCTCAGGCGCATGCTCTGATTTTGAGTGCCAAAACACATCGTCGTCTAGATTTCTATCATTCTCTTGTTGTTCTTGTAGTCTTGTGCGTTGGTTTTCTCTGAACGCGTAATATTTTTCCTGTGCTCGCTTTATTTGCTTTTCAGCATTCGGGAAATTCTGCAGAGCTTTGATTCGTTCGCTGGGTACAATATCAACGTTATCAAGACATGTTATTTGTGTTAATGTAGCGATGACATATTGGCGATAGCCAGGATAATCCGTGCAAGGGTTTCCAGTCAAGTACAAATCTCTCAAGAAAATATTGTTTTTCAAGCTCTGCACGCTTTCCAAGTCGCCGATAAAGTTTAGAGTTAAGTCTAGTTTTTCTAGCGATTCACAGCGTTCTAAATTCTCAATAACTTCAATGTTATTAATCGCCAGGTTTAAATATTTGAGCTTTTTTAGTTTATGCAAGTTTTCTGGAAATTAAACGTTTGAATTTAATAAAGTTAAGTATTGTATTAACTAAACTTACCGATTTTTGGTATGAGATTAGATTGCAGATATAAGATTTCTAAATGCTTGCACCAATGTTGAACGTTTTCAATTTTATGAACGTCTTCTTGATGTAAGGATAATTCTTCGAGTGTACCGATGATTTTCTCATTATGCTCAGCTTTCTTTCGCACCAAATCTTCGGTTACTATAAAATATAAATGAATTGCAATGAAATGTAATGAAAAATATAACATTTCTGATACGTACTGCGCACCATTTTGCACCGTATGTGTTTTATGTGTGTGATTTTTATTGAACTTAATAGTAGGTAATTGATTTAACAAATTATCAGTTGCTAAGCAATGCAAACGTGAGTGTAGAAAGAAATGAATCAAAACTAGTAAACTACAGCTTTAGTTTTACTATACACATCAATTTTGCTACCAAAATAGTAAATTAAATCTTTATTATTCTTGTTTTTATAATTTAAATCATCTATTTCTGAGTTATAATTCGTATGCCTCCAATGTAATACTAATTAGTTATCAGTATGAGTAATAGAGGTCGCTGCAATGCAGTTTCTAAACAAAAATGGGATTAAACGTGGTGGCGCAAATTTGTTCACCTTTTTTATGTTTTTATCTTCTTATCTTATGTTGTACCATATAAAATTAATAAACATCTACATAATAACTAGTATTGATAATAAAAACATTTAATGTTATACGTTTATATTTGTTTAAGGTGCATTATCACATATCGAATTAAACATAGAATCTAACGTGGAATTTCGCGGCATGTTTCTATCACACTTAAGATCGACGTGATACAAAAACGCCAGCAAGTGCAACATAAAGATTCTTCCCACTAAAAGACCCATACAAGACGCCAGATACGGAACATTGTTTGCATCGTTCGCATACGTTTCTCGTATCCAATTGAAGACGGACATACTGCCATAGTTAAACATTAAACTTCCCAGTGCACTAAACACATAAAATAACCGAAAACATAAATTAAGAAATAAATAATATTTTAAGTTTCCATCTGGGCATGTTTACAACCTTAACGAAAGACGACTAAACACGTTGATTGGTTGCATATTGGGTCGTGAATAAATCATTACTCCGATTCCATAAACCATGTTATAGTACAGAATACGAGTTGCGGAGTTGGTAACATAACTTAAATTCAAAATATTTAGTAAAACTAAATTATTCTTTTGGGTTGAATGATATTTATCACCTGTTGAGAAAGTACGGATAAATTGCATGCACTGACATGAGGAGATATGCTACTCTTCCTTGAATGGAAGCTACCACGGCGAAATTGTGTTTAAAACGCTTCACAAGTTCGGCATCGTCTTCGGATATTTTGTCGCTCATAACTGGCAGCGATAACACACTGCATTGCTTCTGGCAAGCATTTTTCAACAATTAATTTGTATAATATCTATTTTATCAGGACTGTAATTTGACAAGATTCAAACGTATATGTCAAAGTCAAAATTTGAAAAATTTACATTTGCTGTAGTAACGAAAGCAAATTATTATCAAATATGTTGTTTAAAAAGTAAAAATGTTGCACACACTCAAACTTGTGCTAGGCCCCGGGGAGATTCGAACTCCCGATCTCCTGTTTACTAGACAGGCGCTTTAACCAACTAAGCCACGGCGCCGTTGGAAACATATTTCTTACTATTGTATACAACCAGTTAATCATCCAACAATATTCATTCAAATAGTGGAACAGTTGTGCGTATGAAGTTGCCTATAAACTTTTTAATTTTCAGTCTTTTCGTGATCTCTTGGAAATGAAAAATTTAAACATGCACATGCGCAATACACGCACACAGAAATTTAATATTAACAATTGTAGTTTACATACAAGTATATAGTTCCCATTATAATCATCAAATCCAGGAATTACTAAACATTGCGCGACCATTCACCACTAGCGCTCATCAAAAACAAACTATAACAATAAAGTCAAACAGAACGTGATTTATTAATAAATACTACAATTACTAATAATTCTACGCTAATGAATCACCAAATAGGCATGCAAACATTGCCTCTGAGTGCTTTTCATCGTTCATCGCATTTACGCTCGCACGCAGAACATTTTTGTCTTATCTAATCGCGCTAAGCGGCAACGCTCATCGATAGAACGCGCCAGTAATCAAAACAGAAACAAACGCACACGTCTCCAGGTATAACTCGCGATTGTATTCCAGTTCGGTGACAGCGTCGCGAGAGGCAGGAACGAAAAAATGCACTCGACGTAAAAACGATTTGTCGTGCGATTGCCGATTACTACTGACGTGCGACGTATAGCGTAAAGGGCCAATTAACATTTCATTCATTGCGCGCCGATTGCATGCCAGCAGACAACCACAACCGCCAACAAAATAATAAACATAAATAGTTTGCGATTGTTTCGACGTGTTCAACATGTGCGCCGGGGGCATCAGAGCGTCGTCGACAACGACAAACTCGTTGGGTTTGTTTAGTCTATTAAACTTACCGCGTGGTTTACTAGTGTTGTTAATGTTGCATCTTTTTATTGGATACCGTGAGGTAAGCTTAGGTTAATTATTGTAACTATTTTTATTACTGTGAAAAACATTATTAAGTGTTAAGTGTGTTTATTTGACCAATTTAATACGTGAATAACTATTTAATCGATTTTTTAATATTTTAAAACATTTTTTTAATTGTAACTTTATAAAACGAGGAAATTAAATAATTATACCAATTATGTAATAATTTAATGTACAATTCATGTTTTTTTATCCTTTAAATGTATAAAAATGCTTTTTGATTGTGCGAATAATCAAATGCAACATTTTCAAGCATTTTCCATCAAATTAAAACTTTTCTTATCATCTTTTGCTTTATAATCGTTGAACTAATTGAATTTAATGATAAATTAACACAACTAATTTAACATTTGTTTTTTAGTTAGAGATCAATACAATTTAAATTAAATTATATTAAAAATGCTTCTATTTTGGCAAAATCAGTAAAATGATGAATTTAATACCTTGCGGAATTTAATAGACCATTCAACAATCTGATTAATTTATTGAGTCAAATCACTATATCAACACAGATAAGAATCTTATGTATTGTCAAGGTGTTGCCAGTGTTGTAACAGTTCTCGGCGAACATACTTAATCATAAAAAATCTATGTACAGCTTATAAAACTATAAAAAGTTATAATTTATAACGGCAAATATGCATAACTATCTTTAAGAATTTCAGAATTATAAAAATGAATACTAGCATTGTATTTATCCATTCAATTAGTTTTATGTCACAATTATAGGATGATTGTTAAAAATCTAATTTCTTTTCGGATGTCTTTTCAAAACCTTAAAAGCGAGTGTAATTTTGGTAGTTTTTGAAGAATTCGAAGAAGAAGCTCAGAATTGACGTCTGTTACGCTTGAATATTCAGAAACGACTGAGCATTGTCCTCGCATCAGGCTGCTTTTTATACCTACGGCCTACCCAAGATGTTAGGTGGGGGAAAGTACCTATAAAAACAGTGTTTGACGGGTTGCTGCCACGCGTACGCGTACTTTAATATTTATATAGTGATTAATGATCAATAAAAACCCAATAATAAGTAGAATGATATGAGAAATGTCTGCCACAGTTAATCTACAGATTATCTGATGATTCAATAATGTACGTAGCCATTTAACACATCATAAATCGCATTTAAACAAACAATAAAAAGTATTGATTGAGTTTAAATGTGTTTCTCAGTACGCTGTGGCAAAGTTTGGATGTTAATGAACCGCCAGTGACGACTTGACGCCTACGCCATTTTATTTTAATTTAATAAGCACTAAAACACTAGGAAAACCCAAAATTCAATCACATCTAGCTACCATTTAAGGTTAAGTCTCAATAAAACTGATGAAACTTGACATTTACAAATTAATATCTTTGATATGAAACAAAAGCGTCTCACTGAGTTAAAGTCGTTAATCGTTAACATCTGAACGTAATATGTTGACCTTCACATATTCGGCGCTGCTAATGACAATGATAATATCACAACATAATAAATTATTGTCTCTCGTTGCGTATTATTGTTGCAGGTTACCTCCTATTCATGTTTGAGGCACGTGTAGAACCTGTTGCAAAGTTCCGCAAGTTTTACAATCCGCTGTAGAAAATTACACTGTTCTCGCGACTAATGTCTCGCGACGAAACAAAAACTTTCATACAAGTATTCGTGGCCCGTGATTCAAGCCAAAGATTAGTGTACCGTTTACGTCTAGGTAGTTATAAAATCTCCGAATTGCTCAACTCGAGTACGGTACCAAGATCGAGAACAAACTGGAAGTAATGAATGAATCAGTATCAACGTGTAAAAATTCGATTTACGCACGGCGGCTGTGTGTCGAACTTTTTATTACAAGGTTATTGTGTTCGCCGGCGGTGAAGTCCGGTATAGAAAATCCTGATCATAAAAGAAAAAGTAAAACACGCCAAAATTGTGGGTTTTACCACCCAGACGACGAAAATTATTAATGAAAAGTGCCAAAAAGTGCGAAATAACTTCGTTTTAAAAATATACCTAATATAAATTATCGAATATGTCGAACACTTAATTGAGTATTGTGTTTTTTATTATGATAAATCACCCACAGAGAGAAACCTTTCAAAAGTAAATTTGAGTGATGGTAAAAAATGTTGTGTTGATTTTTAGTTTTTGCCACATGAACATTACGAGTTGTTACTTTAGAAATTCGAAGCGTGTTTGCTGCCTGCGTGTGTGTGTGGGTATTTTGTGTATGCTTCAACGCGTTAAATGATGTTGCAACGAGGTAAAATGTAAAATGAACCTCCCGCCTACCGGTCGCAGCGTTCGACGGCAGTCAAATTTTATTTGCCTAATGAGTAACACGCATCGCCTCGATTTTGCCAGAAGCGCACTCGAAACATACGAATAAATCCGCGAAAAATGCTTCACACGCGATTTAATCATTACGCGTGCGGCGCGATATTCACTTCACGAAGGAAATTGACACGGTGCGCGATCGTGCGATTCAATTAAGACATCACCAATTAAGTTATTATTATTATTAATATTAAATACCTAGTTAAATGGCGCCCGGACGGATTATTTTGACTGTTGCATCGAAACTTATGTTGAATTTAGTAATTGTGCTGTTAATTCTGGAATACTTAAGTGTTGCTACTGTAAGTTTATAATTTTAATTGTTTGTTTGATGATAATTAACATTAACGCGTGTGTCATTATGTAATTAGTTAATGTTAATTTGTAAATTACGATTAACTTTGGGTAGAAGTCATTTTACGTTGGTGCTTAAACATTTTGGTTATAATTTTTAATGTGAGAGCGTAAAAGTTATTTTGGGTTGCCTAATGGCTGCTAATGGATAGCCAAGCAGGTGGAGGGAAGGAAATTTTAAGGTTATTTCAATATCAAGAGTTAACTTCAATATATATACGTTTACGAATATAAACACGTATTTTTTTAGAGATTTAGATGGTTGTAGCACAAAATGTCATATTTTTATTAGTTACTGCACATAACATGATATATTTATTAGTATTTTTCTATTTTATAATAGCAATATTGAATTAACCTCAAAATTTAAAGACATGGTTAGAAAAACTTGTATTATTTTAAACATTTTGATACATAACGTAATAAAATCACAGTTTAATTAGTTATTACATAGTTAAGCACATTTTTTCCATATTTTATACAAAAATCAGTGAAAAAGTAATGGTTTTTTGTGTTTTTTGCAAATATTTCGTTCTAAAGCTATTCCAAACTTATCTAACATCAAAATTCCCTTTCAATATAAAATATTTGAATCATTCTGTGATTTAAAAACCATCTAATATATTAATCAACAGATTAATTGCTGTAATCTCACTAAAAGCACTTCAATTTGCACTTGAGAATGTAGTCAACATAATTTTTGAATGCTTTAGAGTATTCATTACTTAAGATTGTGATAAAACACGAACAAAGTGTAAAATATGTTCGCGTGCATTTTATTACATGAATCCCCAGATGTGTGATAAAGTCAAGCTGTTTTTACACCTATTTGCAGAACACTCCCGCTTTGTATGTTCGACGTATCAGCATAACAATAAATCAGAAATATTTAGCATAAGAGTAACACGTGCGAAAATAATTAATAATAAGTGACATCAAATATAAAAAATAATGTGTGAACTACACACATTACACATGTTAGAGTCACAGCGAATTCTTTATTCCTAGATTACTCAATTAGTATATAAAAATATTCATAGTCAGGTGGAATATATTATTGTGAAATTCCTTAGAGTTAACATAAAACATAATAACATAAAATAAAAGTGTTGCGATATTAATAAAAACGTGTTGTTTGCCGTGTTCTGGAAATTCAGTTGTTAGAGGCACAAGGTGATCTAATTTCCGCTATTGATAATAATGTGTGCAGTCAGGTAATTTCCTGTTTTGCTACGTCAACTAGCTAGAATCGATATTTATCTAAAAATGTGTTATTTTTGCGCATATTATTTGGATGTTTAGAGATTCCTAGAGTTTTCCGTTATTATTAGTGTTTTTTATCTATAAAATTGGAATTTGGACAATAAAATAATCGGAATTATTTGTTTAAGATAAGAATAATGTATACTACTAATATTATTGCTCTATATATTGTGCAAATATTCGGTATTTTCATAGCACCAATTTAGGAAATGTTTGGTTAATATAATTTTATCATATAAATTCACATATTTACAATATTATAAACTTTTTTTGAAAGTTTCGATGCTTTGGGGAATCGATTACACAAATATTTATTAAATTTACAACAAACAGAAGGTTTCAATTAGTTTTAGACGTGATCCGTATTCACAAAACGGAAATTATGCCTTCTAAACAATTGTAAAATAGATATTTTCCTAAATTAACGTTAAAGTTGCGCAAAACTTTGCAATATTGCATGTAATTTACATTTTAGTGTTTTTTGTGTGTTACTACAATTTTAAACGTTAACATTGATTTCCACATTCTTTTAATAACTCCTGATAGTATTTCCTTTTTCGATTTTCTATAAAACTTTTCGTAAACAATCGCATAAAATTAAGCAAACAGTTTTATTAATTTACAGCTTCTCCAAAATATTTGCCTCAAGTTTACCTCAATAAATTAAAATCCACGCGCATTCATTAATCCCACAACCAGCAGACCGCACAAACAAATCCTATACTTATCCAATGCTTATTGCTTTTTGATGTGCCTACGCGTAGTCGAATAAGTCGTTAGTTCCTAACATAAAACAAGACCTAAACCGTCGAAATTAATATAAACTCATCTTTTAATCGCATAAAACTCTAATTTTAGATCCACGCCTCCAACCTCGTCCAAATCAACGCCACCTTCGACACGAGAACAATCAAATCCGGTCCAATTTTCTTCTACGACAAACGCACCATATTCATATCGATGTTTGAGTACTCGCATCACGCATTCGATAACATGTCGAAACACCGAAGATGGTTCAAAGTAACCGCCGCCAATGGCACTCAAATCGACATGTATTTCATACAAGATATCGACGCCAATCAAACACCAGCGGAATTGACGCGCGATTATCAAAGCGAAAATATTTATCTGCGTATTGACGAATCTCAGCACGACATTACACGCTTTGCTTCGCTTGTAATTGTGGGCAGGTCGGATGAGATTGTCGCTTCGGTTGATATCACCTATGCTAATGATACAATCATTGATGGCATTGAACAACGCACAACTAATACAAATCCCATGTTCCAGGTTGGTTTGGTATTTGTAATCATAACAAATATTTACTTATATCTCGAAATTTCCAGGGCGGGTTATTTGTATTTCGATATCCAAAGTGTTGTCCGTCTGGAATGTATGCAGGTAGCGAGGGATGTGTACCAATGGAAAGAGATCCTTCGTCGAGGATTCCAATACATGAAAAAAAGGAAGAATATTTTAATAATGAATCGATGAAAAACTTACTTTACGAACCGTATTTTCATCGACCTGAATGTGATGATATGTAAGCACAAAACTTCAAACATATCAAACAGCTATCAAGTTAATTTACTTTATATTTTAAAAGGTTTATCTTGGATCCAAGTGATGAAGTGTATATGCTGTCTACTGGACAATTAATCTCTGCATTACCACATTTTGCATGTCTCGATTTTATTGAGGATGAAGAGGGCTATATGCACGAACAAATTTTTATGTGTGCTGAAAATAATATTAACGCTGAGTTGAAGAATACAATTTATGTTGGACGTGAGTAATCTTACCTATAAGTATGAATTGCAGCAGTTTTGAGTAACTTTCTGGTTATTTTCTTTTAGTGATGTATTTTTCTGCGGCAATGTTACTTGTCTGGGCACTTGTATTAACGATAATGTTGTGCAATGGTGCATTATCAGTAAAAACAATTATTGTCCTATCGATTCTGTATTCAGTATTTTATTCATTGCACTTCATCACACTTGCAACGGCAAGAGAAATTGGAGTTGTTTCTGATACCTGTAAAATAATGGGATATATTTATCAGTTTTTGTTGTTGGCATCTTTCACGTCTTTGTTTGCGTTGATTTTCGAAGGGTTTTATCGTGTTAAGTAAGTTGTTCGTACTCAACCATATTTGGGCACTAATATAGTGAATTTTTAGACATTATAACAAAGAGCATTCAAGGAGTCGCATGTATTTCTATATTGGATTCTGCGCGGTGCCAATAATTACAACATTAGTATCAATATTTACCAATGAATTGACATTATCTACAACGAGTAAAATACAACGTGATAGTGCCTGCTGGTTTAGATGTAAGTTGTTAGAAAGTTATTTTACTTTTTTTTAATTCAAAAATTAATTGTTTATTCTTTTTAGCGGATAGAAAAGTTTATTCTTACTACGTACCAATCATATGTATCATTTTCTGCTGTATGATGATACAGATAAAAACTTATTTCGACATTCGTGAAAATCATCGAAAAGCCCCTGCGCTGTTTTTGTTAGAGGAGCGTAAATTTAAAAATATGTAAGTGATTGCCAAATCCATCGCTAGATGTCCCAATGTGTATCAAACGCAACAAAAATTATTTATAAACGCGTTTGTTTACTTTCTGTTGTAGGTTTCGTTTGGGCGCTTATCTTAACGGTATCATGACTTTTTGTTGGAGTATGGAGGTTGCTGCATATTACCTTGAAGCGCAGAATAATTTCTGGTTCGTCGTTGATGCGTTCAATTCAATGCAAGGTTTTGCTATCTTCTGCGCGTTTTCTTATCACTATTGTATGGTGTGGAAGAAATTGTTTACGTGCTCGACGCAGAAAATACGCGCTCGTAGCAATCGCAGCAGTTCGCTCTCGGAGTGGAATATGCGCGAATTGGATCCATTAAAATAGCAATGTGTCTATTTCATTTAAATTATTTAGTAGTTTATAGTAATTGTGATAATTTATTTATTCTTTTGTAATTTTATATGTGATTGCAATGTCTGAGTGGAAGTATAATTTCTGTGTATTGTGTTCTTCAGTAATTATTTAATAAAAATGTTCAAATCTTTTAAGATATCGGCGTGTGGATAACTTATTTGTGTCCCTGGACGTGTCACGCTATCGGATGCTAATTGACATGCAACTTTTATGCAGTTTTCAATGTTATTTCGGTCCCAATTTGCTAAGAGAAACGCAAGAGCTCCGATGAACATATCGCCAGCGCCTGTACTATCGACGCAAGTTACTTGAGGGCAAGGCGTGTGGAAAATATCAATTTGCGAAGGTTGTACTCCGAATAAAACACCTTCGGCACCCATTGTTAATATAACAGATTTACACCCGAGTTGTAAAAGCTTTTTTAATGCTTGTTTCCCATCACTGCAAATAAAATGGCGTAAATTGTAAGAAAATTTTACTTTTTCTATTCTTACTCTAAAGTTTTTATAGGTATTCCAGCAAAATCTTCTGCTTCACTCTCATTTACACAGAAAATCGTTGGTAAAGTCAACAATTCTGCTGGAAATTCTTTGAATGATGGTGCTCCATTCAATATTGATATCTGTGAGATAAATATGTACAAAATTATACAAAATCAATTAAACAAGTAATAAATTTACCCCTTTTGACAACTTTAGAGCAGTAATAGCTACTTCCATTTTAGTTTCAAGTTGACAGACCAAAATCCCAGCATTTTCCACAACATCTCTGCACTTTTCAACATCTTGTGAGCTTAAACTGTTATTTGCACCACTCACAATTACAATTTGATTTTCCCCAGCATCAGATACATTGATTTGTGCAATTCCAGTGCTCTGTCCATCAGTTTTCATCACATTAGTAGCATTTACACCTAATGATCTTAGGTTTTCCAGATAGTTCTCTCCATGAGAGTCAAGTCCAACTCTTGCAATCAAAGTTGTCTTGCCTCCTAGCTTGGCTGCAGCAACACATTGATTTGCACCTTTCCCACCAAAGTTAGTGACAAATTTTGAACCATGAATTGTTTCGCCAGCTTTTGGAAGTCGAGATGCATAGCTATAAAATTTAATTTGATCAGTATTAATGAAATGAGCAAAGAGGAGACAAACCTAACAAAATCAACCATGCAGCTTCCAACAACTACAATACTTTTAGGATCCATCTTACCGAGTGTTAGGTAACTGTTGCGGGTATTTAATTCGCTCTCACTTGATAAGAGCTATAGATAAGAAAATAGTAATGTATGTTAATAAAAATTAACTTTATTACATTGAGGTTAAGAGAATTCATTTTCAACATATTTTACATTGCAGTATAATAATAACAAACAATTATAAATTTATAATTATCTTTAATTATTCTATTAAAAAAGTAGTAAGAGGTGCAAAGTGTAAATGTATTTAATTAAAACTAAAATTAGTTTAACAACTTTTTCTATGACCAAGCAACTGTCATTACACAAAACTAGGTATAAGTAGGTATTTATGTTACTATAATATGTAATTAAACCAAGTATGTGATCAGAAGCTTTAAATATTGGTACTCATTTTGTGCAGTAATCGGACATATTACTTTTTTGGCATAAAAAGATAACATTTAATTATTTTCATTTGTTGATATTGGTAATTGTCAAGTTTGTCGATAGATGTCTCTACTGTGACGAAATCGCACCGCGTGTTCGCCGTCAGAGCGCGCGGGGAGTGCAGAGAGCAGTCGCGTTGCCGGCGAGTTGCTCAGAACGGTGCGAGCGCGGCCGCCAGTGCCGAGCGTCGAGCGAGCGTGGTTGATAGCGCGTCGTCTGAAAAAATTGACAGTTCTGCGCGTGCCGTCCGAGCGGCAGGTTCGAGTTCGAAACCCGAGAGTGGTGCTTGTTTGTTACAAAATGGCGTTCAACGGCGAAGGACCGCACAATAAAAGACAAAGGACCGAAGTGGACACAGTGAACAATCGGGTGAGTGCACGCACGGCGAAAGCGGCGCCGCCGCGCGCGGCTCCCAGCGCCCGCACGCCGAAAAACCGCTCGATGCGGCGCGCCGCCGGCAGGCCCAGCGCCGCGACCGATGCGTGACCGATGTTTCTGTCATCGTGCGAGCGCGGAATCATTCGCAGATAATGCAATTTGGAGCATTTACCGGTTTCACATTCACGCATCATTCATTTACATACCATTTTTGTCAATCTCGAGATAAACAAACGCGACGAAGCAAACGAAAAAATCATACAAGTGCGTCGAGCATGCACATTACTTTCGCATCGTGAACCAGTTTTATGGCATATGGCATGCCGGTTCCTTGGAGATCTAGCGAGACAACCTTCGCGATGCGATGCGTATTGTGTGCGTTCTTCGCACGAAGAGTACGACTGCAAGTTCATGTCGCAAGCGCACTTGCAAGTGCAAGGCAACTGTAAATTATCGCCGATGAGGGACGCGCCGCTACATACTCATGCAGTCGCACTCAGTTATCGACAACTCGCGCCGGTTGCATTTAAACATTCGATAAGTTACCCGAAAGGGAATAAAATACACTCGTAAAAAAACGTAAACACACGCTTGCATTACGTGCGATAAGTGATATGTTTGAAAACACGTAACAGGTAAAGCTGCCCTGCGGTTGTGTTGTCCTGCGGTCTGATTAGTTGAATGCACAAAAAAGTTAAACAACGCGAGGTGACACAGTAGCACACAGCAGGCGCAACAATGCGGTGGGAGTAAATTATTGCTTTCTCTCACAATTCACAATCAGCGATCTAGTGTTTTGTTTGGTATTTATTAGCCACATCGTAAAAAATATCTTGTTTCATAGGTATCTAGACGGAAGTTATTCAAAGTTCAACTTTTTGCTTGGAAAAGTAAATGGTTTGGTTTAGTTTGGTAAAGTTATACACGCAAATGTATTGACGTTCGTGAAATTGACTTAGTTATTATCAGTTTTGTGGTGGAAAGTTGCAGTTTTAGATTTTGGCCGAAAATAGAGATGTTAAAATCATTAAAAAGTTGCTATATTAATAACTTGTGGTGTTTTTAGTCATTTTATTTATAAACAAACGTTTTTTTCGTTTAATTTATCTTATAACTTTGAAAAACAATACAAAATAAAGAAATGCCCATTATTTTGTTGATATTTTATTGAAATGCGTGCAAAAACGAAAATTTTGCACATAAAATTCATTATTATTGCCTTGCGGATTGGCTGAAATCTTTAAAAACATAAACATCGTGTTTAAATGTAATCGAAACCGAAACCAGTAGCAAATTGCTTTGATAAGAAAGGTAGCCGTATTTTTTTAGCAGTATCCAATTACCTACTATTATATCATGATTTTAATATAAATATTTTTCATATTTTTCAACGTGAAATTGTAATCAATACCTAATTAATTAGTACTAATTTAATTACTCTGCTCTCGAATGCATTATTAGTGCCGTGCGAATGAATTAATTTATTAAAATTGTTCATTTGTGAACAGACATTTTATAAATTTAGCCCAATCCATCATTCAGAATACTAAAATAATAAATATCGTTTAAATTTGTTTTAAATCCGACAATATCAACACGTTTTTATTTAAATGGAGTCGATATTTGTTGTTCTTATGAGACGTAACGCTGATAAGTTATGAAATGTTTAAATCCCTCAAAATCCGCAATTACTTAATACACATTTTAATTAAAATTACACACTGCGTGTATTTTCGCATCACGGTTACCTTACATTGTTAAATATTTGCGCGCTTCTTGCGTGGTGCTCGCGAAATGATAAGGTTTACTACCGCTCAGCGCCAAGTTGCCGCTTTTCATACGATAATAAAAAATGATATCAAGCAAGCGGAGTGTCAGTATCGCAGAAACGCCGCTCGCTAGATTATATGTGATGGCAAATGCAATTCAAGCTGCAACTACGTTGCTGAATGATGCATTTGTGTGATGTATGTGCGTCAATTGTTTATAATTGCTTGAAGTTGTGTTGGTGTTGGGTGTTGATGCGATGAGTTATTTACGGCGTGCGCGGTTTCTGTTTATGCAATTGCATTGATTGCCAAAAAGTCAATTAGCATAATTTTGCAGTAACTTGTGATTTCGGAGCAATTTAAATCATTTTATCGCAATTTAAAAAGGCTATATTATTAGAGATGAAATAAGATGAAATAATAGAGAAAAAAATGAGCGTTGTTTATAACGACGTTGACCTTACCAAGGCCGCGAATCGGTTGCACACACAAGGTTCTTTATTTATACACTTATTGAATATATTATAACTCGATATGGAATTTCTAAACAAATTTATAGTAATTCTATCTTTAACACAAGTTTTATTCATCTATATTGGTAAATATTGTCTCGAATTGTTAATAATTGAATTTAATTCAATTTTGTTGTTATTATAAGTTTAGTAATTATTTAGTAGTCGAGAAAATCTTTAAAAAAAAATTTCTTACAGTTTCTGAGATAATAATTTAATAATTTTATTATTCTGCTACAAATCAAACAGAAAAATTATTTCAGCCGACTTTGTTTTGTATTGATTTATAAAATGTATCATTTGATCGGTATTCTGGAAGCTTCCCGGTGATGTCTGATGTGGAAAAATGTACGTGCAGGTGTTTATAACGGCTTTTACTTGCATTATCATGATGTACCATCATATCTTGTCGACAAGATGAAGATGGACAAAATCACGTCACGTCCTCCCGAACCTACGTTTTATATTTTATATTCCGAGCTTTGTTTGCACTTGATGCGAAACGCGCGGTGCTTTAAGATTGAATCAAACCGAAAATATTCAACCTCAACTCGAGGCACTTTTTAAAATACGCAGCTACTCATGTAGAACGGCGTTGAATTTTTTGAAGATTGAACTCGACGCGTATCTAGAAAACTAGTTTAGGATGATGTACGATGTGTAATGTTTTAGTTGAGCTTGTTTGTTGGGATAATTTGTTACATGACTCCGCCTTTTATTGCGCTTGTTGTAATTTTTTGTCCACATTAGCAATTTGCGTCGCGTGACTTTAGTTATTATCCCCCGAATGGACTAGATAGTATTTCTTCTCTAAGCATCTATTTGTCGGTAATATTATGTACTCTGTGTATGATTTGTATGTTGTGTATGCATCTGGCATAATATTCACATCGATATCAGATGTTGCTGATGATGATGCGCGTTGCAGCCGCCTGGGGATCGATAAATTCCGGTCGGCTCGCGAACTCGAGCACACGCACAGCTGATCTAAGCGTTGCTGCTGCTGCTGCTTGTGTTTGAGGCCAGTGCAAGAGTTGGAGAGTTCCTCCAATCTCTTTTTTTTTCTTCATATAATTTAAACGACTTGAATCGCGCGGCGCGCCGGTGTAAGTGACCCGCATGTCAATGGACCCGAATCGTTTCTTCGCCGCGCTTGTTCGTGGTGCTTGATGAGCGACGGGCGTCGAGTAGTTGCCGCTCTGGAGAAGAAGGAAGAGACGAACTAACTAGTGTACGAGCAATTTCAGTCCAGTTAAAACGATTCCGGCGCACACTTGACGGCTTCAATGTTGAGTTGAGTTGATTTTTTCCTGCTGACCAGACGAAAAAAACCACGTCTGACGTAGGTCTTCGTCTTCTTGGTTTCTGTAGTGTTACATGGAAGTGGCTGAGCCCACACTTGATTTGGGAGTAATTAAGTTTTGATTATATTTTAATCGATTTGTGGTGTCATTTACCGAGCGAGTTTTATTCGTTGTTGTCTTTTGGTCTTCTTTGTGTGTCGCGTTTGTTTCGGGCAAGTCCTGCACACGATTGCGTGTCTTCTGTTTATAACGCTCTGGTTTTCGTTTCGGGAGGGTTTTCGTGGGGCCAACAATGAGATTTCATTGCTGGCGATGATGCCCCCGGCAGGCGAGAGAGCCGGCTAATGGCTAATGTCCGCCGCTGACTTGTCAGCGGAATTCTGTTAATGCCGCATGCTGATGATGTTTCTCCTGTCGTCCGCCTGATGTTATGCAATGCTTTGTGTGTTCTTTTTTTTTCTCGCTCCTAATTTCCGCATTCTATTAAATTGTGCTTTGTTCTATGATACAAAACTCGTTAGTGCATAAAACATGATCTACACATTTTTTTTGTATATTTATAAAATTCTTGGATGTGAACTTTAATGCTTTTTAAATTCTCGACCTGACCTGCATTCGGTTTTCGTATTTGTTATTTATTTTTATTAGGTTACTTTTATTACAATAGGGTAACAAATTTGATGGTTATGATGCGTTTTTTTTTTCGCAACCTGCTTGAAATCAAAGCCGATATTTGCCTACCTTTTGTATGCTTAGTAGACGTACTTGTTTAAAGAAACTCGAATGTTGTTTGCGCTCTCGTATTTGATTTGGGTGTGTTTTTTATATTTACTTTTCTACTGCTACAAATGTGTATTTGAATTTTATTAGATACCTACACACATTTTACTGCTGAAAAGGGACTTATGTGTTTTTTTTGTATTTGGTCAAATGCCGCGCGATCTTATCAGTAGGTTATACAAAGAAGCGGAAGCAATCAAAAAGGCACATAAATTAATTAGATGATGTTTACTATGTGTGAATGGGCTGAATATTTATAGTGACTGAGATGATGATAAATATTTGCGCGCCTTTTTTACGGTCGTGATATTATTGAAGAGGTGTCGCAGCAAAAACTTCTTAAACTGGTTTCGAGCAAAGATTTAAGATTTATTCTTGCCTGTGTGTACAAATAAGTTGATGTTTAGCGTGACGTTTTAAAAATGGCTCAGAACGTAGGCGCCACGCGGTTGATGACTTATTTGTTGATTCATTTAATGCATTAATTACCTATATTGCTCACTGGTGATTTGCAATCGGATAGTGTTTATGTAGTATAATTTTAATGGTAACCTGTCTTTCAAATTGCTACTTTGATTCGAATTATCTAACCTTAAAAATGATTATTTTTTTATTGATCGTTTGCAACGTTTATTTTATTGATTTTTTTTATTTTTATTGATTTATTTTAACGATTAAAAGTGGTCCAAGTCTTTCTCTTATGTCTAATCTACCAATATACAAAAATTTATCAAAATTCGTTCACTGGTTTGCACGTGTAAGGAAAACATAGGGGAGAGGGGGGCAAAGTGGGCCCCAAAAGCGAAAAAAGGGGGCTTGTTTACCTTTTTTCACTCGTTACACTATTTTTTACATCCTTGTTCAGTATTCAATATTAATAAGCCGTGTCTATCAAAATTAAAAAATTCAGAATATGGGGCAAGTGGGCCCCCGCCTATAAAAATTTTGCTATTACCTTTGTATCCATTTTTTGCTTATATTATTTTTTTTTTCATTTCTTACTTCGAATTTGTTGATGTGAGTTACTTTCCCCTCTTATTTATCAAAAATTTTAGGGGGCCCACTTTGCCCCTCAATTTTTTAAGCCACCTGAGTTTTAGGGGCCCTCTGCTAGGGGCCCACTTTGCCCCCCTTCCCTACAAACATTTCTAACATTTTTAATATTAACATGGATTTTTGAATATTTTTCAATATAAATTGGCTTTACTATAGAAAGAAAGCTTGTTTTTACGCACAAATGTGATTTTCCTACAATTTTGCTTTTATTTCCGAAAACTTGATCCGTTTGCGTGCCGTTAACAAAATATCTTCCTGTCTTTATCGTTTTGTTTATACATTATACATTTATAATTGAATATCACGACAAGCGAGTCGACTTTGCGACATGCGTGCATTTCGCCAAGCAAACGCTTTGGTGACATATAAAGGGGCATGGTCGTACATAAATTGACATTAGTACCGAAGCTCATCCCATTGTCTTTGTCTGGCTGGTATTATTGAGGTATGACACGCGAGACCGTGCCCGGTCGTTTAATTCTTGCGGGTCTGGCGGGCGGGCTCTGGCCCTGGTTTTGCCCTGCTTGCCTACAAAGGACATTTGCATTCATGCAAATTCATGCAAAGCTCCGCACGCCGAAAGTCTCAATTATAGGGGGCAGGATGTGACGATTTAAAGCTCCTTTCTTAGCTAATTACATATTTTGCCCTCATGCCCCGGCATTCGCCTTAATGAAATTATGTAAGTTGCGGAATTTTAAAATTTTGCAATTGTGTGTTTTTCTTTGGTGGTACATTTTTGTTCAGCGTGTTGAAAAGGCCGAATCTTTGCCTTTTTTATTTCGCTTTGGCGTATTTTGTCAGCATCCATTTTATGAGCATTTTCACACGTCCGTGGTAATTCCCATTCGGTGTTATGTACTTTTTTTTTCTTTGACGTTGTATTTTCTCTCTGGAGCATGTAGCGTTTACAGTCGTTTGGCTATTTACTTTTTGTTCGGTTCACCCCGCATGGCGAGTTTTACAACGCTTTATATTTTTATACTCTTGGTGGCGCAAAACTTTAATATTTAACAGATGACACTATTGCGATTAATTTTCTTTTTTCTTTTTGTGCATCTAAAAATAAAAACCTTTTAAATTTCTATCAAATATGTATTGCAAAGTGTAGTAGTGCTTGGTTTAAATTTTCATGTTTGTGTTTTTGTTCCCGGGCTGTTTTTGTGTCGCTAGGATTATATTTTCATCAACATTATATTATATCGCATAATGTTCATATTATGCCGAGTTTGCGCCGGCGTTTTATTGAGCTTTAAGAAAAATATGGCTCTATAACAAACTCGCGCATTTAGAATGACAAAAGAGTGGACATTCATGAAAATAAAGTGGCGATAGGGATAAAATGGAAGCCTCGCATAATGGACGACATTGTGTGTCGGAAAAGTTTTGCATGTAGCGACATAAAATGTAACTTGTATTAAAAAATTTCCTCCACATGTTTACACTGAAAACACTTCATTCTACCTTCATTCATTATGTATCGTTTGTTTTAAAAATATTGTCTATAACAATATTATCTTTAGCGATTCAAAAGCGTGCGCGTAATCTGCTGCAAAACAAACTCACATGATGCGCGATTTGTGATTACACGTCAATCATGTCATTATCTTCAATAAATGATTGCGTACGAAGACCTTTTCGTGTTTGATTGATCGATTTCAGACTAGTTGACGAATATTATTGATGCGCGCGCTTGCAGAATACTTGTTTCAGATCTTTTTGAGGTTACAGTGTCTTGTTTATTTTACGCTGAAATATAAGCATTTGTAAGGAAATGAGATTAGCTAATGCCGTACGTTTAATTAAACGCGAATGCGCGCACCGGGCAAACACACAAAGTGAAGTTGCTTATTCAGTGGAAGGCGATGAATAAATTGGAGGTAAAGATGAGACGAGCGCGCAAAATGTAGCCGGAGCGCCAGTTTTCTAGATGAGCGCAATCAACTGAGCACCGGGCGCTGAATTATGAATGCAATATGCCCGAAACGAATAAAAGGTTTTTAATTTAGTCGCCGGTCTAAAGAGACGCCGTGGAGCTCAGACGGAGGAAGTCTACAAGACTGTGTGTATTCGTCGTGTTTAATTTTATATTGCATTTACTTTGAGAATTGTTTTTTTTCTTCGTCATCTGTGTATATTGATTAATAGAAACGAAATGAAATTAAGTGGAATGGAATGAAATTTTATATTTGTTCCTGGAATAGTAGGTACCTTGTTTTGTTGCTATGGCAATGGTAAATAGAGCAGCAGTGTCTGCAAATTGTAGCCCTTAGCATTCACCCAGGGGGGATCACGTCAATGCAATTTGCAAAATAAATAATCAAATAATAATAAAAGGATTTTACTAAAGTCGGGAAACAAATAATCATCAGAAGGCATAAAGATAAAATACAGATAGATTTTTTCTTGTTTTCTTCTAAATATGTTATCATTAGTTGATTTCTAAATGCCTTGCCTTGCGGAAGATGTTGATGTACAGCCAACGAAATACAGATGTAACGCCTCATTCGACTGTTATTCAATGCAGTCGTTTAGAAAACAGATGTGTGTTTGTCTTCCAAGGTTGTCTATTTAGTTTTTCACTGAGTATTCACATATGAATGGAGCAATAACCAGACCAGTGGAAAATGAAAAGAGTTGGATTTTATTATACCTATTATTGGTATTTGACGAAAATGTTTCGCTTGCATTATTACATTTTGTTGACTTTATAATTTGTGTGCGGCGATGTCACATTTTAATAAAATAATGGATTTTAACGCTGTTTGCTCATTGTAGAACACGCGCGTTTTGAAGGTCATTAATTTTAATTACTTTTTGCTTTCTGGTCGGAATGCCTGCTGCTGTTTCTGACACATTTGCTTAATGATAATGCGTTTTTTGTTGTTTTTCATTCGTGGATCAATACCGTGGAGTGTAGCGCAGAGAGTTGAAATATTTTTCAAGTACTGCCCGCGCGACACACGTTTTATTGTCTATATTTTGTGTTTATAGTTTTGTTGTTTTCCACGACGTTGGATTATTGGATTATATATTTTTTGGTAGGTGAAAAGTGTGCGCGTGGGTGGGTTCGTAGGTATCGACAGTTTTCCACTTTTCGACTAATGTGCATGGGGCAATGTTGATTGCTCGTCGCCATACGTTTTCGTCACGCGCATTACGCTCACTATTCTGCCATTTCCCATTTATCCTCATCCTTATATCGTACCAACAGTGGCACACAACATATTGTACAGTCGGTTGGAAATATTGATTTTTCTTTCGCTCGCTTGCACCGCCAGCATTGTGTAAACATTTATCTTTATTCGTGTATATTCGTATTATACGATCTATCTATCATTGCGTCGCGTTTTGTACTTTTTGGGAGGCGATACAATATCCGCGCGCCGACGAAGAGAATCACATGTTACATATGTTTTTGTGGCCGACGTTAAATAAACCGAGTGTCTTCTTGTTTTGTTGCAGGGCCACAACACCGGCAGCTACGTCGTCAGCGAGGAGCCGCGCCGAAAACGACAAGAAGAGGGTAAACCGAATCACGTTTTGCTCTTCACCATCATCAACCCCATGTACCCGATAACAGTCGTAAGTACACATTAACTATACTACAACTTACATAATAACTTACGTTATTACCAACGCACATATTTTGTGCTAGTTTCTACACTTTAATGAATATTTTTGTGACTGCAATTTAATTTTTACGGTTTTAATAAATGTCTAGCACAATATCGCGTGATAAGGTAGTAAATAAAATATTAGTGCCTTTCATCTAGATTGTAAATTATTAAATCCACTTAAAATCTACTCGAAATAGTAAATTCTAGCCGCGTTCAATTTTAGTTTGCCACCCTCAGCTTTATGTTTGGGTGTAAATTTTGTAAATAATACGTTATGTAGTGGGTTACTTTTTAACTCGAGAAACTAATGCATTTTGTTATTATTACGCCGGGTGCGGGTAAATTGTCGCGTATATAGTTTTCGGAAAAGGGGTGTAGGATGGGTGGGTGGGTGCTTAAACGAGGCTAATGAAAACTTGTATTTAACGAGGTGTGTTTGCTACCAATTTAAGTTGGTGGTGTGGTGTGGCGCGCTGTATCTGCGTTCCGGCCCGGCCTCGACGCTCGTAAAACACGCGTGGATTTTCTCGACTCGGCCGAGGCAAATCGACTTGAATGATGGCACGAAATAAACTTTAATGAACTTTGCTTGATGACATAAATTATAATGAAGCACTAGAGACGCGAACATGCATATTTTTCGCGCAAATCTATTCAGGTTTTGATTTTGATTTATATCTGGCTGAAAATTTCGGCCGATATAATGGCGAGTTTATTAAATATTTATAAAGTTTGGAATGGCGCTTTTGTTTTAAAGATGTTATCGCGCCGTGCAAATATTGCAGCTGTAAGTTTCCAATTTGGAAAATGCTTATCAAGGGATGCAGAAGTCATTATACGAGATGACAAAAGGACATTAATTATGAAACGATAACATCTTTCCTGGCTGTGTCTATGGCTATTTCAATTTATTGAAATTAATTAAATTTTATTAATTAAACAACAATTTAATTCCGCCCGTACAAAACATTTTGATTTAATATTTACATTAAATTATCGCCAACATGTCAATATTTAAACTAATTTATTGTGTTGAATGCAACGATTGTCATTGCTGGATTAATTATGCTGGACATTTATAAAACAGGATGAATATTTGCCGTATTGATATTGTTGGTAATTTTATCTAGTTTGCTCCTAGATCAAAGCGCAAATTACAAATACAAAACTGTTGTTTTGGGTCGAATGAAGTAAGCCAAATGTGCGTTGAAGTTGAGCTGCTGCCATTACAAGTTTGCGTATTAATCGGATAATCTCATCGTATGATATTCACATTAATTTGAATTATATGCGCATACCGCGCGAGCGCGTATGTTCGATTACATTTGCATTCAAGGTTTGCATAATCATCGTATTGATTATTGACCCGCGCTAAACGTGTGGGGCGCAGGTAATATCGTTTTATCTATTGATATCATCTCGAGTATTAATTTCACCGAGAGTTGAATGAATGAATATTGATGTCTCGATACCTATATAAATATGCCTTGATTGATTGTGTGCTGTATTACATTGCGGTAATGATTATCACCTCATACTGTGCTACTTGATGGTTACGGTAGCGATTTCCGCGCGCTGCCACGCAACGCATAACAAACGAGCAACGTGTAGAAAACGAGCGGCGGGCGTGTAGGTGTTTATAAATAGTTCAAAAGCGGCACTCCACATCTAATGTGCTGTAATCTGCTAAAGGTTTAAGACGCGTTGAGCGCAATCAAATTTCGTCTTGTGCGCGCGTATGCTTAATAACTTTCAGACTCGCTGCCGGTGTTATCAAAGCACAATTGCTGCGTAAGTTTCAAGGATCTATTCTCCTTTGTGGCGTGAATGCATGTACGTACCTACTGGGTTTATAAAGACCTGATGAGGAATTTTGTTTGAGAAAAGAAGCAAACGAAACGAAAACGCTGCAGGTTATTTTTACTTACTTACAACTGGAGTGAAGTCACCGTACACAATTATATCGTGTTACAACGGGTAGATTAACAGTTTATTGTCTGCGTGTGTAAATTACAGTTATGGAATACCTAGTTTAGTGACAGACACAAAAACAATGGCACATTTTAGTCTTCACCGCCGATGAAAGTGTATTTTAATTAAAAATCTATAAACACAACAGATGTAACTTTCTTTGTTTTTCTTGTGTTTGATTGTGTTCGAATTTATTTTCCAATGAAAAGTTTACATAAACTCGGCAGTAAAATCTCTCGGCGTGTACTTAAATTGTACGCGCGTATGACGCTAGCTTCTGGACCACCTAGTATTTTTTTATTATTGTTTATCCATTAAACGTACATAACACTCGTGGCGGTCGTTTCTATTGCACATTATCGCGTTACGCATGCAGTAAAACTGGTGCAAGTAGCAGGCAAGTGTCATTGTGCAAACTGGAAAAAAAAGAAGATATTTTACAACGCGTTGAAATGGTAATGGCGCAGCAGCAGCTTGGTGAAGCTGTGTTGCATTAATGAGAGCATTCACTAGTGTTTTATACTGATGCGAAGCGCTACATTTGACACAGTTTTGTAGGGAGGCATTATCTTTGCACTCGTCTGCGCGTTGGCGGCGACGACACGCGCCTAAGTGCAAATGCAAATACTCGCCGAATAATGCTAGATTTAAAGCTGATTTTGCTAGCGCAGACAATGGGAAAATTATAATGCCCGAGTGGATGGACGAAGATGGATGGTTTTGTAGGCGAGTGCGTGAGTGTGAGTGGTAAAAGCAGATGATGAAATCGGTGAAACAAGTTCAATCTCGTCTTAAGTTGTGTTAACTGAATTAACTATTCAGGAGGGATATAGTGATATAGATGTTTAAAGTTTACTATGGGGGGTTTTACTGTTTTGATATAATTCCGGAAGAAAAACATGCATTTGTGCAGTAAAAATTAAAAATACTAATAGTTTATTATAATATAAGAGTGGAAAACATGAAATGCGCGTAATTTCATGTGCAATATTTGCACATGAAATGCGCGTAATTTCATGTGCAATATTTGCAAATATTGTTATCTATTTGAAAAATATGTATTTACTCCTAAAGAGCTGGATAGATTTTAATTAAATTTTCTAATAATTTTTTGATTAGTGCGGGTAATTCTGTGAAATTTGATAGCTAAAATATAGCGTAAAGGGTGTTAAATGGGGGTTGAAAGTTAAAATATATATTTTAGTTAGTTTAGTTATAAATTTTGACTCGAGATGGCGCTAAGATGTACTTATTTTCATAAAAATTACAAATAACATCGCTTCTTAAATAAATATTTTGTGCGATAATTATACTGATATCCAGCACAAGTGCTGCATTTATTTTTTACAATTCTCAATTATACCTGCACTAGCCGACCGAGATTGAGTTGTCATTCAAGATTGGTCACAGCTACACGTTTATTTTGATTATAAATATAATTCATTGTTTTCCACTCTTACTAGTTAATATATTAATATTATTATTCAATTTTGTGTTTATATCTGAATTTTTATCCTTCAAAAGGTAGGCGAAAAATAATCAGTGTAGTAAAACAAAGAGTTAAAATATTCATTATTTGTTTAGTTTTTATTCACACATTAAAACAAATATTTAGAATATTTAATGACATTGCGCGAAATTCCCGAACTTGAATTGCTATTGAATAATACCTGCCAATATTCATCTTATTTGATGATGTGCTCCAGCCTTACCGCAATTGCCAATCGCCAATTGAACGATGTGCATTACGCGAACGCGCGCCTGCTGCACCAGCACCAATACAATCGCAATCGAAATGGGAATCGCGGTGGGAATACACCTTATTGCGCGATACCAAGTTGGTAACTGTTCAATTAGTAATTGTAACTCATTGTGGCAACGCTTGTCTTATTATGTCCCGCTCGCATGGGTGGATAATTGAAGTTGATGCTCGAATTGTGCACACTAATGCACTATTATTGTCTCTCCTTTGAGCATTATTATTTTTATATAGTCACTTTGTGGGCAACAATTGATGAGCGAGCTTCTCTATATTTATTACCACCCATAGAAGGTGGATAAGCAAATGTGGGCTGTCCTATTATCTCGCGATTATTACGTATTATTACGCAAATGTTTATATTCTACTGTGTGGTTTAATGATACACATCTAGTTAGTCATTAATCGTGCTTATACAACAAGTTTAATACGTTTCTCTTGTTTTATGCGGATAATTTAAGTTTTAAAACTTTTTTGTGGTCGATTGTGGGTTAAATTTATGGATTTAAACTTGAACATTTCCTGTGGCTATTGTTTGTACACAATTTTTTTATTTGAATCCTTTTGGTCCTCTTGTGGTCCTCATATGCATGCATTTCATCAATATCACCGTGAATACCAACGGGAAACGTATTAAACGAGATTAATGCGGCTTTAAACTTTGAATCGGTCGACGCAATCCTTCGTCCTTCTTGATCCACATCCTATTTTCATCCGCGCGGTAAATATGCTCGGGCGGGAAGGCTTCTGCTTTCGCTACACACCGGCATAAGTGTATTGTATGCGCGTCGGAGTGTGGGCAATGTTTGTTCACGATGGATATTGACTTTTATGTGGCGACGTGTGGCATCGCCATGACTGTGACGGTGGTGGTTTGGTTGTGTTGGTATGTCAGGCGGTATGCGCGGTTATATTGTGTGTCGAAAAGGAACATTCTCATTCCGTGGCGTATCCGGCGCCTTCACCATCTCGGCGTTACGCGCGCGCTGCTATTGTACCGGCGTCGACCTTTTCTAATTCCACGCAGCGCGAGGTGGATTTTGAAACGCGCTTAGATATTGCTCACGCCGTGCGCTTTGGAACTTGTCCTTCGGGAAATTTGTTGTTTTGCTGCGTGTGTGTATTAAATAATTAATTAGAATTAATACAGACGTGGATATGATACTATTAGGAAGTATTATAATGTAGGGGCGAGGGTAAGGGGAGTTTTGAAAAAGTTTGCATTACGGGCTTAATTTATCAAGAAGTTTGGATTGTTTTTGTGAATAAAATAGAATATTGCGCAAGATACTTTTTAATGTAGAGCAGGAACTTGGTTTATTTGATTATTCTTTCTAATAATATTTCGGTAATAATTAAAATATATTTTTGAATTTTAATTAGCAATAAAACACAACTTGTTGGTGTGAGAGATTAAAAAATGAAAGTTGAATGTATGGTAATTTTTTTGTCTATCTGAATATAAGCGCAAAAATTGTTAAATAATATTTGCGCATTTCATTTTGGTATTAAATTTATCATAATAATAAAACTGAAATAAATTCAGGTAGGTACTAATTAATTTAGAATGGCATTTATTAATGAGTACCCAGAAAAAGCAATTTTTTTCTAATTTAAAATATTTTTAATTTTTTGTTGTATTTTTGGTTTTAGTTTGGTATTAAAATGAATTTTGTAGAAAATTTCACTTAGTTTCCATTTGGGACCTATTCACATATTATTAAATTTTGCACACAATTTAAAACTTTTATTTAAACGATGCTAAAACGAAGCTACGAGTATATGAAAAATGTTTATCGTACATTTTAATTCTGAAAAAAGTTGCATTTTTTCAATGATAGATTTGCTTCATTTGAAATTCGTTCCTAATTCACCGCGCGCGCATTTGCATAATCCGATTACATTTTGGAAAATTCTGCTTACACAAGGGAAAAATATCTACACGCGCATTTCGCCGACGACGAAGTTGGACGCCGAAGCGTCGCACCACGATGGTCTGCCGGTTTCGCGCCAAGCAAAATATACTCTATATTTTGTGTTTATTTAGCATTATTTAAATTTACATTGAACCCTCTTTAATTACTCAGCGGTGGGCTGCGCTTCCGCGAAAAAGTTTTTTCGTCGCCGCGGCTAACACGCAGCGGGATATTAACTGGATGGTAATTGGTTTCGCAAATGGCACTTTTACACTAATAACAACATCGAAATTGACGAATATTACTATAATTTATAGATAATTATTCGTAATTGTAGTGCACTTTTAATTGTTAGTTGGGAAATATGCAGACAAATCAGACGAAAGTGCAAATTTAGCAAAATAGACTATATGTAGGTATAATTAGTTGTAAAAATAACCAGATAAGAGTTTTGTTGTTTGCGTTTCAAGGTTTTTGTTATGCTTTTTGTAATTGAAACATAATTTATAAGTTTTGCGGTAATTTTTTAAGATTCCGACCGGGTATTTTACTTTACTAACCCGGTAGTCATTTAAAACTTTTTCTAATTGCTTAATTGCAGTAGGCGAAAATCAGCAAAAATTTTCCCTCGCAGGAAAACTAAATTTCTTCTCAAATTATAGGCTTGACCGATTTTTAGTGAATCGCTCATTAATTTTTACTAGCTTACAAATCTGTAAACCGCGTTTTGGTGCGTGCCTACTTTTCAGCACGATCATTAAACCGCTGCGAATTGTCTGCAAATTCGTTGGCCAATTTCTATTCTAATTGTATGCGTTTATTTCGGTCCGCGACGCGGTCTCCAGAGTGGTTGCTGCTTGTGCAGTGTGTTTAGGTTAGGAAAACAAGTGTATAATTTTACCGCGTGCGCGCGCGCTCAGGTTTTGCAGCATGCTCTCTCGGCGACTCTTTGATGCATCACACGGCTGGCTGGTTACATCGTCGTAAAATTTATTCGCATTTGTAGAGTAGGTACAGCTTGCAAATCTAATTTATTACTATTGCCATTAATTTTGGCTTGCCGATGGATTTACGGGGTTTTGTATGTGTATCAAGCTATGTATTTTGGATGTTTTAAAAGTGATTACTTATGCAGCTACAAGTCAATTAGATGATTTGGTTGTAAATCTATACGAAAATACTTGTTACATGTGTGTAAATAGTTGTTTTAGTGCAGGCGCACGCATATTTCCATCGCTTGGTTAGAGGTGGGTTATGTTTAGAAAGATGTGTCATGTCCTAGCGCTCTCGGATTGATCGTAACACCTGTCTAACAGTGGCTGACATTATTTACTGTGCTATGTGTTCTTATTTGGTTTACCATATTATCATGATAAATAATTGTTTAAATTTTATTGTTTTCTGTCCAAAATAGTAGAATAACAAGTAAAACATAGAAAATTTTTATAAAAACTAAAATATCTCAGAAAATATTTTTTTGATGAGATTTTATTGTTTTTTACAGCAATAATCATTGTTACCACCTGAAATTCTTGATATTTTATGTTTTAAAACACATTTTATTTAGAATATTTATTTTATCTTAATAACAAAGCTGAATTCAATTCAGTTAATTCTAAAAAATGTTTATTTACGAGGTATAACGATGTTTATCGGTCTATTATTTGTAGTTTGTGCAATAATTTTATTGATATGATATACCCGAAAGAAAGATATGTATGTGATCCGTTGCGAATGACTAGTAATGACTAGTTTACTAGTCACTCGATGCTGAATGTCGCTTCGGAAAGCTCTCCTCTCGTCGTTTATTTATAACTCCTCGATGGTATTACACTCACTCTTTCTGCGTCTCTGTCTGTTTCTTCATTGCAATGCAAGCGTCGGGCCAATGTGTTCGACATTGTCAAAAGCAAGGAGTTTAGTTTTAGTAACCGAGAACACTATTCTCGCAAAGACGAAAAAACGTCGACGAATATAAAAAAAGCAGCGTTTCATTGCTTTTTTCCTGGACTTGTTGTGTTGCACACACATTTCTTCTATTGTCAATTTTTCTCCTAATGTCGTTCAACTTAAATTTATGATGTGCCTTTCTCAGTGTGTTTCTAATATTATATCATTTCATTGTTCAACAGCGCGCCGCACGCTAAATTAAACCCCGAGATACATTTTGGTGGCTGCATTTGCCGCCAGTTTCGAACGCACCATTTAATACGCCAGTGTGCGTCTTTGAAGCAAAACAGTGTACAGAACAGAGGAAAAAATGATGAGCTCGGCGCGCATATAGTATACACAATTAATGCGACAATGGCATTTCAGTTTTGTGCGCCGTAGGAATTTTGAGCGTGAACATTGACTAATTAGACGGGACGAGAGATATATTTCAGTGTCATCTTCACTAGAGCAAACTATATGTCATCTGATATTAGTTTATGCATTTGTTTTTGCTCTGACACAATAACACGCTAATATTTCGGATGCTGAATGTGTTCTCGAATTTTCAATTTTACAGCAGCGCGGGTGTCGTCTGGGTCGCGTTTTGAAGCATCGATGCTCAACTTTATTTAATTGCCTCATAAATTTCCATTTAAAGCGACGTAAACTAATGTTATTGTCTTCTTCGTTTCTATTATCATTCGGAGCATCCGTTGTCTAGCCAGTACTGATATTTTATTAAGATGATATAGTCGGGCGATAAATTTGCTCGGCTTTTTTCGCGATGGCATATTTGCCCCATCGATGCTTTACTCGGGTCATTATATTTGCCGATATTGAACCGGAATGCCACTACGCTGAGAGTAGACATACCTACTTCATGTAATCTTCTTTAGTTTAGTGTTAGATGCGTGTCTTTTCTGCTTGAGGATGAACGTATTACGCGCTGCGGAATGATAAGCTCTGGTGGCTATAATCGTAAAATTTAATATTTATGCGTACACCGCCCGGTCGTGGTCTTGCACACGCACTTTAACTTTTCTCCTGGTTTTGTAAACGTGTCGGTGGCGTTGTTGAAATATTTTATTCGCTGATCCTGATATTAGTATTATGGTGGATACTTTGAATGTCAATGTAATATGTCTGAATTAAAACTTTGTGAAGGTTTGGTGTGTGTACATTTGTAATTTGTAATTCGGTAATTGACAGCTGGACGGAACGCTTTTTAATTAGATTTTTTCAGGGTTGTGTGTCCATTTTCCGAATTGGACAAAGTTTCAGCTTGTAATTTCATCAATCTTTTTCAAATTAAGTTTTAATTGAGCCTAAAAATACATTGCAAGCGTTATAATTGAATTGTGATCAAACATTTGGTTTTAAAATCGGTGGTAAAGTAAAATTTTATGAAAATATTTGATTCATAAATATGTACTTTTTTAATTTGTTGTAAAATAAATGAAAAAATTTTTTAAACATGCATATATTGAATATTTTACTAACGTAACCAAAAGTTATCCCTATAACATGTGTGGTTTTGTAGGTTCGTTAAAACTGCTAAACTAAACTGAACCTTTTTAGCTTTATTAGCCTCATGTGTGGAAAGATGACATGCTCCACATTTTTATCTACATGGAAAGTCGTTGCGACATGTTACATCCCATTAGAGGTTCTTTACGGCATCGATGAAAAGCACAAATTTGTTCCATGTCGCAACCACGTCTCAGTTTTTGATTTAAATGAAACCAGTAGTTAAACGGCTTAATTAAACAAGTTTTGTGCTTTCGTGCGGCTGGTTTTAATTCAAATTCTAATCGATTTGTTTTATTTTGTTGCAGGATGTTTTGCACACGATATGTCAGTCAAGTGGAAATGTGCTACGAATCGTCATATTCAAGAAGAACGGCGTCCAGGCCATGGTGGAATATCCTTTACATGCAATAATATAATAATCTAGCTACTTTTAATATTTTTTGATTAAGGGGGATGAAATAATTATATAGTAGTAGTTTCTTCTGCGTTGAAATTGAATGGGGTTGGGAATATTTGAGTGGATAGTGGAAAAGTGGGGTAAAAGTAGAGTGCTGCTAGGCTAGGCAAAAGGGTAAAAGGACGGATGGGAAAGACGTCGAAAATAGGAAAAACGAGTTATTTATATTCCTTAACTGCCTTGCACGTTTGACGGTGTCGATTCGGCCGTTAGGGCGAAGGAGACGCTAAATGGGGCCGATATTTACTCCGGATGTTGTACATTGAAGATTGATTTCGCCAAGGTGAGTCAGTTGATTTCTCCACTCTATATTATTCACTTTTTACGTCTACGTTTTTTTTTCTGCGTCCAACACGAGAGTGCGATAATTTATTTCCCAACATTTACGTTGGAAGCATTCAATTTTCTCCCAGCTGGATTTTTTCTTTCGCATTGAGTGAAAATTATTTAATCATGTCGCAAAATTTTCATCAGTTGCAATTGTTTACACGGTGTCTTATTAACATGCGGTTTATCTTGGCTCATCGAGTTACGCCATTGAGTAGTCGAATTTGTTTAGATTAGATCTTAATTACTCTCGACCGTATTAACTTGAATCATAACATGCTTAAATGCAAACGCCACCAGGGCACATGGTTCGTAAGTTGTGTACATGTGTTAATAGCCTCAGCCACATTAAATTGTGATTTAACACATTTGCTGACGAGTATGAACACTCGCACTGCCGGAACTCCGGAAGTGTTATGTGCTACCTTGATTTAATAATAATTTCATCAGTGAAGACCAAAATTAACAAAATTAATACGTCGGTAGAAAAATTTTACCCAATTTTACAAATAGATAGTTGCTGTTGTTGAAGTAACAGAAAATCAGAAATTTGTTTTTATTATTTGTTTCACTGATTTTTCGTTTGTTACAATTGATTCCTTTTATTTAAACCCTTTACGTTTTTATATAACAAATACTTCTGATATTTTCGTTGCAACAATTACAAGTCTACAGTTTTCATAGAAATATTTACCATAAAATATTCTTCTCTTTCAATGATATGTTCCTCTTTTATGTTCTTGATAGGTTTTTGTTTACAAAAGTAGTTGTCTTTGAAGTTTTCCAACAAACATATTTCACAAAACTTGTGCTCAGTGCCCAACTTTAGCAATGTTTTCTCATTTCTCATATTTCTTTGTTTTCACATTAAAGCCCCACATTTTCGTTTCCATCTCAATAACAATATTTGCAATAACAAAATTATATCTCTGCTGTCAATTTGTTTATGCTTTGATATCTGCGCAGCAAATGCTGGTTTTTTATATTTTGTTCCGCTCTTAACTTATATAATTTTATACCTTGCTCGTTATTTTCCTCCTCTTCGTTTTATCGTGTTCGTTCACTTTATGCCGGCCGTATTCACATCGCTGTGTGTATATATTCACAGTTAAACATGTGAGATGTGTAATTTACGAGCATTGGACAAACGTTTCTATCTCCAGACTGCAACCGCGCGACTTGCACTCCACGTTTTCCACTTTCCATTGCTTTTTCCCCGAGTGTGGACCACATCGCAACATTCCACACAATACAAAAGATATAGATGATATTCAAATGATATACATTTACGACGCGCCAAAGCGATGGCGCGCGTGCAACGGAAATGATTCGCGTGGAAAGTGTGGAAATGCACACGTGGAAAACGTGCCACTATAGATTTTTCTGCCGTTGGTTGTAGTGTGATGGTAATGGCGATGCTTTAAGTTGTAATATTTGGCATTCCTTTATCATTCTAATGACGAATAATTGAGGAAAAGAAACTCGTGGCGCACATGTCCCGCCGCCGATGTTTAAATTCTTGGCAAGCAAACTGAGCGTTTACAAACGTATGCTTGTTGATACTGTCTCGGAAAATGTGTTGGTATGATTGGTTGCGCCGGTCTGCGTGAGTTTGATCTGAATCTTCGTTAGTGTAATGTGTAATATTCACTGCCGGGGTATAAATCTTTTATTTTCTGCACTCACGAATGAAAGAAAACTAATGTGTGAAAATTTTGTGGCGTGTGTTTACTCGCGACGATCACAAATCAATGTATGTTGTGTGTTTTTTTTTTCGTTTCACGTTTTTCTATGTTAACTTCATAAAGTATCGAAATATAATTTGAACAAATTAGATTTGACGAGTTGAAAAATTTATTGCAGCGTGTCAGAATTTAGTTAACTAGATTAGTGTGTTTTTATGATATTTTTGAGATGAATATGAACATAATTTGATCAGTAATCGATTATAATTTAGTAAATGGCTTGCAATTTATTACACGACAGAATTATCGAGTTTATCAACTAAATTAATTAACGGATCGCCCATCGAATATAACTAATTGAGGCAGTTTTTGTTGGTCGGTGCGCGCTTGCTATTAATTGTGCGTGGTAAATCTTGCTCGCAAGACAAATTATTTCTAGGTGTTTGTGTATGTTCGAGTGTATGTGCGAGTTGGTCCTCCATACATCATCCCAAGTTTGGACAACTTTTGGTTTGCGTACCGAATGTTGCAGTTGCAGGAAATTTCCAACAGATGTTGTGTTTATCAGTAGATAGCAATGAAAGTTTGCATTTTAATTAAATTCACCCGTCGGCGGTTTAGTTTTTCTTTATTGATTGTTGAGTATTTTTGCTGTTGTGGTTGTTTTCGTCCAGGTTAGGAGCTGTTTGAAGCTGGAAAGTCGGCCCGCTGGGATGTGTTTTGTGGCTTAACGGTGCACAATGCGCGCTCGAGTACACGGATTGGTCGGATGGCACGATTACGTTTGGGAATCACGCGCCAGCATTATGCAAATTGATTAGTGTGCCACCCCTTGCACAAAGTGGTTGCGCAAACATAACCCGACCGCACGTTGCGAGCGAGCGCCGTGCGCCCAGCGGACGCCGATAATGTTGAAATGATGACGTAGGTGGCGGAAGGTCCTGTTGGATTCGTCTGTGCAACAATGAATGCCTCGGATAAACAACAAACGCATCCACACGCGGCGGCGGCAAATAAAGCGCGTTTGTTTGAAATGTTTGCTTTGTGTGTTGTGGTGAAATTTGACGCAAGGTATACAATGATTTCAGTGTTGTTTAACCTTGTTTTTTAATAGAATAGGAAATTGGTTGAAAAACACAGTTTTGATTGAAAAATTGCCCGGATAACTTTGTGGAATCAAATTCATTTCTTTATGCTTCAATTATAAAGTTTTCGCATTTCGCGGCGCGCGCGCACAGGCTGCTAAACTAATTTGAATAATATTAAATTAAAGCCAAGTTTATGTGCTGTCGCTCGATGTTGGAAATAGACGTGTGTTTGTTTTTAAATTGTCTCGAACGTCATGTCGTTTTCTCTTTGGTGAAACCAATGTTGCCAGACTGATTTTCTTCAATTTTTCAATTGAATAGTAAATGCACCGCAGCGTGTCTATATAGTGTTGCATTGGGCGCAGTTTGGATTTACAAATTCATTCAATCCATCACGTTTAGCTCCACACACGCTGCACACGCACACACCGCGCGCAAGACAAACGCTTTAATTTTGTGGCTTTCGGACGCGCCGCGAGAAAAAGAATAGAATTGAGCGTCGAAATAAAAGTTTGGCTGAAAATAGACGTTTTATAATTATTTTTAGCTCGTTGTCATTGGTTGCACGAACGAGTTGAGGAGGAAAGCAAGGTTTGACTACAGTTTTAAACACAAGATCAATTTTTGTGTCTAGAGTAGAAAATTTAATTATATTGAGATTTTTAAAATTGATTGTATATTGACGTTGGAATATGAATTTCTGATATGTGTGTCGTCTGCTGATGTGTTGTACGATGAGAATTTGTTGCAAGTTATGAGGACAGTGGACAGTTTCGCTTTTGGCAGGAACTTATTTCGGGGCTTGGTGCGCCGCTTCGGTCTGCCTCGCATGCTCGGCGTTTTTTTCTCTCGTTGCGCGCACGTAGTCTAGAATGTTAATTAGGAAGAAATAACCATCATAAATATCGACCTATTTGTGGCAGCCGGCTTGCATAATGTCGAAATTCCTGTTATTAAATTTTCTGTGAAATGCGAAAATTCTTGCTGAAGGTATCGGAATGATTTTGGAACTTTAACTTTATGTGATTTTGCTTTTCTATTTGTTTTGACGAAGTTTGATAACGATGGATATCGGATGGTAGTGCGCATGAGAATAAAAATAATTCGATCATAATAAAATACCTTCAGGCTACTCGTAAAATGCTGTTTTACGATTGATTTTATGCCTTTAATGACCGAACGCGTTATACATAAATGTTTGTATTCGGCGAATCTCTTTCGGTAATTGCACTTTTGCCTAAAATATATATGACAATTATTTTTTTTTATCCTGAAATACTGTAGTAATTATTGCGTATTTAATAGTTTTTTTATGGCGTAGGTATTACTAAAAGGTAATCTGTCTATTTTTTTTTTGTTTAGTGGACTTATTATTTACCGAATTAGGAAAAAAACATTAATTTTAATTTTAAAAAGTGAAGAAATTGCAATTAAGCGCTATTTGGATTTGAATAGCATAAGTATACGTTCCCTGCGCAATTTTACATCCTACAAGTTAAATTTTTACGACCAAAAGTAGCCATCATATATTTTCATGAATAAACTACAACTTTTAAAAGTTTCATCGAAATTGGTTTGATAGTTTTCGCTTAAAAGAGTTACAAACATACAAACTCTCATTCGCTTTTATATAATATTCCTATGTATTGATTTTTTGCTGCAATTTATTCTCTAAAAGACATTTTAATGGCTGTCGAATATACTAAACACCACTCTATTGTTTATTAAACCTCCTGTGATATAACACACGGTGAATTTTTTGTACTCTAGGTTCCTGAAAGCATCTTTCAGCGTTAAATTGATATTTTCCGGCTTTGACACGGAACACATTTTATGCGCCTCAATCGATCTTGGTGTGTGTGTGTGTGAAATACCTGTATGACCCTCGCACTACAAATGATATAATTGGATTTTATCGTGCTTTGCGCGCGCGGTCGCGATAAGGTAGCAGCAGACGTGGGGTGCACGTCAACATTTCACGCTCTTTATGTTGTTCGACATGTTTTTCAAATTAGGACCAAGGAGTCGAACAAATATATACTGCCTTCCGGCGCACGCCGCTTATTTTTCTTTCCGTCTCTCTGCGCTGTTATATATTATTATTATCCACACGCGTGCGTTTATAAGAACGTCAGCGGGAGTTTCCTTAATCTAAACTTGTATGGATTCATTTGATGGAACAT